AAAAAAAAAAAGGGGACGGGCGCTGGCCATATTTCAATTCAATGGGCTATCACTTTCACATGCGAATCACGTGCACGGCTTATCCAAGGTAATAGCCTTCTTCAGCAAAAGAACTGTTACTCCACAATCGTGCTACCTCTGCCGTAACACGCGTGACCTGGGAAAGGCCCTGCTTAACAGATTTAGGGAAACTGTAGTCCTCTTGTGTTGCAACTGCTTTGACCAGAGTCATCATGGAGACGATGGCCTAGGGGACACAATTTTAACACATTGATGTTATCTCGAACAAAAAGAAAAAGTCCGAGTTTGATACTTACCAGTAAACAAGCATTGGTATCTTCCCAAAACTTGCGTGAATGCTCCTTGTTGGGTGCTACAGAACTTTCATTGCCGTCTGTACTCCGTGACGCAATGACAGTTTGTAGAGTATTTTGTAACCGTCGACTCATATCAGCAGCATGTTGTACTTGTCGTAATAGGTCTTTAAAGCGCTTTTCAAAAGCTGCTGGTGCGCCATCAGGGAGAGGTGAGTGTTCAAAGCAGGAATTTAACAAATCCACAACATTGAGGACAGCAGCGGTGGCAATATTAATATGATTATATAGCTGTAAATCTCGTTCCCAGCTAGTTTGTGGAGTGAGGGCAAAGGATTGCATAGTGGAGGTAGAATGTTCACTGTGAGACCGACCTCGATTCATAATTGCCACCTTTTCCGGCACGGGTCCAGAAAAGCCGCCACCGGCCTGCGGTAGGGCGTGCGAGCTAGTAGGTGTGGATGAGGTGGATTGCAATGGAGGAGGGACCGGAGGGTATGATGTAGCGGGAGATTTGTGAGTGCTACGGGATGGAGAAGGGGCAAATGCTGTTTTCGGTGTACTGGCATTATTGTAACTGGGTAGAGCCGAGATGGTTTCGAAAGCAATGCGGACATTACTTGCTGCTCCATGAATATGAAGTAAAAGGTTTCGAGTAAACATGATATCGGACGCTTGCATCAATGTCTTGAGTTGACTTTGAAGTAATTGAATGATTTTTCGTATTGACGTGACGGCTGACCCAGCTGCGGCTACCAGTTCATTGGATAATGATCCAGCTCTTTGTGGAGTGGCATGGTCCATTCTATCTAGAACTTGTATGAGGGACTGTGTGGCTGCATCCGACTCATATAATGCACGGCCAAAAGCAGTTGACAGTTTTTCATTAGCCGTGTAGCTCAGGCACTGCCGAATACCTCTATGAATATTAGACAAGGCGAATAAAACAATCCGTGTCGCTTCGATGAGCTGCATGTTGATCGCCGTATGTTGATGTTTGTATCGTGTAGATGACACTTGCTGGAAGTAGTGTTCTGTGCCATGTTCAGAAGTCAAGTGGTCACTACTGATGGAAGCTGTTGAATCTTGAGAGATGTTTCGAGTATGTCGAATTCGCTCTTGGTTGGCTCTCTCCATCCGTTGCGATTCCATGCTAGCAAACCCCATCTAGATGCCAGAGAATCAGGCAAATAATGGATACAGTAAAGTGGAAAACGGCCGAGCACGCTGTACAACGAGTTGGCGGGGCAGGCAAGGCTAGGCAAGGTTGGCAAAATGCTAAGGCAGTCGAGGTCACGTGTAAATGGGGAATGTTATAAGGATCATACTGTACAATTTATTGCTTTGGCTATCCTTGTCGGTGACGACTTTGATGATAGGGAACTGGTTCATTATCCTTATGATTACCATTACGTTCAGCCCTAGAGTTGGTGATCACATCATCACGCCTATTAAGTGGCCGATTACTATCTCTATATTGCCTAGTATCCTGAGAAGTATTATTGCTGCTGGATGGTTGCGATGGACGTGTAGAACGGTCCCTAGGTGGCAACGGTACATCGTTTGGATTATCCACTGGGCGGCGGGGATATCGAGCGGGTATCGGATGATTATCTCGGCGACGGCGAGGATCATCTGGACGGCTAATGTCTTCAGAAGGCCGGCCTCTCCTGGGTGGAGATCGTGGCCTATTTGGTACACGGTCCAATGGTAAAGGAACAGGTGGAGGAGAATCCCTTGGCCTTCGACGAACAGTTGGCTCCATGGGTCTTGAACCACGCACGGGAAAAGATGGGCGATTCGATCTTCTATCAAACCCTTGTTGACTAAAAAGTTCCTCTTGCGATACTAGAGGCATTGGAATGTTAGGTCGAGATTGGGGTTCGGGGAATCGATGGCGTGATTCATGGTGATCATTTCTGCTCTTGCTGTCATTATAATCGTGCTTTGGTCGCTTTTCATCTGGCATAGTGATCGGAGGATCGCTCTCACGTGCTTTCCCCTTGCCTGATGGTCCATTTGATTGATGCCCTGACCGAGATGATGGGCCACGATGGTTGGACGTAGATCGGTCGCGTTCATCTTCTGCTTTCCTCTTCCTATCACCTGCTTCCGACGTAGAGGCTTGTTTAGATGAGACAGAATTGCTACCATGTCCGTTTGTAGTTTTAATTTCAGGAAACGCATTCTGACTTATATCAGTCTCCTCGTTATGATAATATACTCGGCCGTCTCGCCTAGAATAGTGTTTTTTCCATGGTGGAGGCGGTTCTCTGTCTACATTGGACGATGCCTTTTGATTTCCTCTTACACTGTTGTTAGGACTCACAACTGGTTGATTTCTGTCCTCAATGTTATGGGGACTCTGAGGTCCACTATGTTCCGGTTCCTTTCGCGTTGAGGCGGTTGATTTTGTAGTTGATTCTTCCCTGTGTGAACGTCCAGTACTATCCGACGCATCGTTCAGGTCCAAACTATTGTTATCTCTCTGCTCTGGTTGAGTAGCATCCGGCTGGGGTAGATCGGCATCCGTTACCACATCATCATAGCCTTCGAAATCAAGGTCATCTTGATCTATATCTTTGCTAGTAATGAAGCTAAGCGTATCTATTTGAGAAAGAGAAGAGTGTTCTTCCTTTGTTGTGATCTCCCTCGACTGTGTATCACAAGAAGATTGGACCGGCGGATCCTTCCGAGCATGCCTTGATTCGGAACCTTCGGCAGTAGTATTTCCATCTCGGTTCGACCGATCCTCAGTGTGGCTTCCCCTGCTGCTCTGCGAAGATGATGTCCGTGAGTCTTGTCGCGCATTCTCATTACGCCGGGGTGGCGACGTGTTTCTTACTGCTTCATCTCTGGCAGAAGGTCGTTCCCAGCGTCTATTTGAATTATCAGACCTAGAATATGGTCCCTGTCTGTTGTAGCGGACATCGTTTCGGTCACTTTGCCGCGAAGATGGAGTGGGAGGTAACCTTTGTGCCACATTATTTGATCTTTCGGTAATTATGGGCTTTCTATCGCGCTGAGCAATTGACCGTTCTGGTGACCTGTGAGAATTGCTTCTGTGGAAGTTTCTACTGTCCACTCCACTTTGAGATGGTGGATCTGAGCGCGGATGACCGTTAGAACTTCTATAAGATTGTGGATTAGGCGTCCGGTCTGGTCGTCCGCGCTGAGGAGGTGGTGAATTATGTGAACGAGAGCGTTGTTCTCCGCTTTGGTCATTAGTGTGCTCCATTTGTGATGAGTCTAAAAACGTAATCTGTCGGTCGTTCTGCAAGTTTCGATCTCTGGCTATTGTTCTTCCTCCTCCGTTGTAGTTTCGCCTATTCCGATCAGAGCCGAGACGCTCAGGGTTGAATGCATTGCTAGATGGCTGATGATTTCGATGGAAATTCCTGCCGCTCATAATTGCTTAGGCGTCGGTGAGCTAGTAAATTTTCCCCAAATCCTTAAATACCTGGTGTCTGCGAACCGGTCACGACATAAGACAAAAAAAGCGATGGAAAGTCACGGGACTTTTAAAACCGCCTATTGATGCTAGGCAGACTTTCTGTACTGAATATTCTCATAGCATCGGCAGGCAAAGCTTTCATACTTTTTGTATAAGTAGACGACATTGAAGGACTCTACAAACGCGAAATATGTAACAAAACATAACCTTTTCGTATCTTTAATCTCTTCCACAGCTTATGTCGATCCGTACACCTCACGCATCCAAAATTTTCGTCGTTTGAAATTCATTATAGTAAATGCTGAGAAAGGTTCGCAGCCTTTGCTGCGAGTTGAAAAGCGCTTATCATGTTTAATCCATTTTTATTTTAACAGCTTGCTATAGTATAACGTCATCAACCTCTTAAGTCTTCCTTCAATTCTATGATACACATTCTAAAATCCTTGAACGCGTTCCTGGATCTTAAGGATGTCAGAGTAAATACCGAAAGCAGTAACGGCAGCTCCGGCACCAGCTCCTTGAATGATAATGCCGTTAGGGAATCGTTCAGTGGTGAACTTGATGATGTTATCGCTGCCCTGGAGAGAAGCGAAGGGGTGGGAGCCGGGATATCTGCATGAAGATAATGGATCAATTGACTATTCTACAACGTGGACATGCTTCTATGGAAGGTCATCTTACCTGACCAACTTAACACCGCTACCGCTTCCTTGAACATCAACAACGCCAACATATCGCAAGACTTCACCATTTTGGACAGCAGCGTCATTCAACTTCTGGAAATGGTCATCAAACTGCGGAAGCTTAGACATGAACTCATCAGCTGAAGCAACGCCTTGAAGCTCCTGAGGAACAATGTTCTCGACAGCAAGAGTGGACAAATCGAGATCAAGTCCGGCGAGACGACCGCAAATAGTAACCTGCAGGTTTCGAGAGAATGATACATGTTAAGATGAAGTTCATGCCTATATTCTATCACAACTTTACAGTATTTAGTTTACCTTACGAGCAACGTCCATGCCGTTGAGATCATCTCTTGGATCAGGTTCGGTATATCCCAATTCCTTGGCAACCTTGACAATGTCAGAGAAGTTCTTCTTCTCAGCATTGGCGCTCAAGGTGGAAAAATTGTTAAAGATGTAGCTAAGGGTTCCAGAGAAGATTCCCTCAACCTTTTGGACCTTGTCACCAGTCTTGACGAGATCAGTCAAGGTGTTCAAAATAGGCAAACCGGCTCCGACGGTGGACTCATGGTACACCAAAGGCTTTCCCTTGCCGGGAGTGCTTCCGGGCAGGTTGTTAGAGAGAGAAGTGATTTGCTCATAGAGACTAAGAGATCCAGAGAAACCCTTCTTGTTGGGAGTAACAATGGAAAGGCCGGCAGAGAGCCATGAAGGATATTGGGAAGCAATATGATCAGAGGAAGTGCAATCAATGATGATGGAATGCTCAGGCGACTTGGACAAATACTGAACAAGGTGGCTGATATTGGCTTCAGTAGTGGAGCCTGCGAGCTTATTCTTCCAGTCTGCGAGCGAGATTTCGGTGTAGCTGTCAGACACCACCATGCGCTTTGAGTTTGTCAAAGCAACAATCTTGATGAGCTTTGAGCTGGTAGCTTGAAGCTGTGCGAGAAGTTCTGAGCCGACAAGACCGACGCCAACGATTCCAACTGTAACCATTTTGCTTGAATGTAGAAGGTGTGAGCGACTTTGAAGTCGGGGGTGTTGCTCTCTGTTGAGTCAAATGAAAGGCAGTCACTTTGGCGTGTTTCGTGCTGCTGTGGCCAGATGAGATGATACCGTGAAGGCATTAGCCAATCATCGTGGTTTAATTTTTGATCTGCCAAAGTTCGCGCTCAAGCAATATGGACACCCTTTCATCACAATTAAATATGCAGTTAACAAGAACGTTCATGATAGTTCATCGAGAAGCAGTGCAATATATAATATACATGCGTAAAGTTCATTTAATTAATGCATATGCCGTTGACCATTATTATGTAAAGAAACGGGCTTATTCGATGAATTTGTACATGATGAGCGCGCAAAAATGAATGGCATGAATGATGCTTAATAATTATGAGCTGGTGTCTGTGTATAATCGAATGCCAGTAGGAAAGAATGTCGCTAACCGCTGCCGACTTCAAATTTCCTGCTTGAGACTGCCTGGTTGTAGAGTATTGGGATTCATAGTGTCTTTGGTCCTTGAAGCTTTAAAATTGGATGCGTTTCGTCTCGCCTTTCCGTGTGCACTGCCATTGGTTTTTGAAAAGTTTTCCTCAGCCGGTGAGCTCTGAATATCTACAGGAGCCGACACACGGTGACTTTTGAGGGGTGTCAATGCCGATAAGCTGGTTCTTGGTGAAGGTTTTGAAGGGCTGGCATCTGATTTCGCTCGTCGGTGTCTCGCATAGGACGATATTGAGAGCACAGATATTGAGGATGGAGTTGTTGATACAGACGTAGTCAGTACTGCTTGGATGAGATAATGTATATTAGGAAGTGTATGACGCAGATCCATGACAATAAGTCCGTGGGCATTGACCAGCTATATGAGTTATGAAATGTGTTAGGCTTCAAGGCTCTACCATTCCACTTTCACACATGTGCATACTCTACCTGTTCAATGTTCTTATTTAGCAAAAATACACCATATTCAAATCGATATCGATCTACCCCTTTAGCATATAAAGGGAAACTTTTGGGCGAGTATTAGTGGTAGTCACAAATCGTTATCACAAACTATATTCGATACTGACCTTCTAGATCCTTGCAAAATCGATATTGGATCCCTGACTGATGCTCTGGATCCCATAGGTGTAATAGGATACCTAAGTGGTATGGCAAGGTAATATGCCAACATATTAACTAGATGGCTAGTATACCCAAGTGCTGTCGCCACAATTTCGTCGTCATATCCAGTATAAACAGAGTTTGGCAGAGGCATGCCTCTAATGTGATACAATTGTGGATCATTGTAATCCTAAATGATCTCCAGCAATTAGCTCTTTCACGTACTTAAATGGCTTGGCTTGGATATACCAGTACTGTACCTGATCAATGGGGTATATTGAAAACATATCAGCGATCAGCTCTTTTCGTCGTGTTGTGAGTCCTGCCACCGTCTTTTTATGCATGTCTTTGTTTCGTTCTAAATTTCGCTCTCCTTCCTCCAAATATTCTCTACCAGTGTTTAGACTTTCTCTGGCATTACCTAACGCCTGTTCCCTTTCCTGAATCTGCCTACGTATTGATTCGATTTTGGATTTTACTGCCCATACAAAAAATGTTAACCGATCGTTTTTTACAGGTAGTGGGACCGGGATAAGTTTTACCTTGATTTTGTTCTTGCTTCACATTATCAATTATTCGCCTTCTTGAATTCACTATAGTCTCCTTCTCGCCCTTTTTCCTTGCCTACATATAACACCTTATTAGAAAAGACAGTATGTGTTGAACGCGCTTCCGCATCAGACAAAACCCCACCATGTAAAATCTGTCCTTCTCAGCCAGCAATACGCTTTCGATATTATTTCGGACATCCGCACTGGATCTCTGGGTATCTAGAATGCACTCGTATAATGTATTAAGCCTGAAATTTATGTTAGCTTAAACTACTGAGTCCATCAAGGGTGACGATAGTATGCAAAACTTACTTCAAAATGTGGTTGTACGTGTACGATGGCTTTGGCTATGCAATATATGTTAAACACTCGATCGAAACAAGCTCAGATAAAATTTTTACTCAAAAATGGCGCATACCTTGATGGCAAGAAGTTTTTCCACGGCTGTTCTATCATCACTTTCCGACCCAAGTACTTCACTCTGAATGCCAATACAGTCAGTAGGCAATACAGTCAACACCTTTCCGTACTCCTTCATGCACTTACCACTACATCGGGTAAGCTGTAATAGCCATCAGTAAGCTCGATGATAATCGAATTTTGTGGAAAGAAGTTTGGCAGGTTGGTCAACTATGGATCAAATGTAGTAAATACAAAAGCTTATATTGAATTCCAGATAGCCTTTCTTCTCTTACGTTACAGCACAAATATGTGAGACTGTCAAGGGTAACCTCCCATTCCAGCATTAGACGAAAATTGTCAGCATCTTTTGGCTGTTTTAACTCTCGACGAGCCGTAAGTTGATCGTGCTGATGTCGTAGAGTATCGCTATCCCGAGCAATGGATGCAGACTCTGGTACAGAATTACGGCTCCATAGTCGAATAACAGCTTCATTTTTTCGATTGTCGCACATGTCGGATAAACCGAGGGTATCAAACGTTCGAAAAGTCGGATTAATACTATTAGCCACAATTTCGCTGGTGTAAAATGGTGGATCTAATGTGTGGCAGTGTGAGTGGAGAATCAGCATAACAGAGCAATATTAAATATATATGACGTACCGTTCATGGACATGTGCAGTGTGAAATAGGAGTCAAGAAGTCCACGCTCAACATCCGATACCGATGCATGACGGCTGTTGCGATAGACACTGCGTAACATACTACTATCCTCTACGGTTGTGCTCCCTAATGACATAATCGAGGAACCACTATGCACCCGTTTGAGAGGTTCAAGATGATGAAGGTTGTTGATAGCGCCTACTGACACTGGTGTTCCTGCCCGGTTTGGAAGCCGAGGTTCCTCTACTCGCGATGACAAGGGAGATGACAATGAAGCGGTGTGCGATTTGGGAAGGGGAGAGGGTGAACTCGTGGCCGATCGGTCGCGGACAATGGACAGTCGATCCTCCTTGAACGTGTCTGCATCGTCAATTGTAAAGTTCGGGGCTTTCAACTGCCCACTAGAGCTACTTCGAGAAGAAGATGGTGTATTGAAAGAACTGCTGTTCAAACTATGCGCCTGGCTACCCGTCTTGTCGTCGTCTCCAATAGCAAACTTTGGAGGCGAAGCGTCTTTTGAGTTCATAGAGCCATATGTATCGACATGCTTGCCATTAGGTCTTATTTGAAAAGTAAGATTACGAGCTAGAATACCAGTGATATGTCGTATCCGTCTCTACAGAATGACGTTAACATAGACAATTGTGTTATCTAACTTTCAACCATGGTGCAACCGCCACTTCAAGTCTCCGACCTTCCCTCCCAGCTTCAACGAGATCCTTACCTGTTGTGGACCCAATGTCGGGTGTAGGCCCGATCTATGTTCCCTCATAAGTCAGCAGATACTAAAATATACAGTTGAAATCTGTCTGCGAATGAGTGTCAGAAATTGGAAGCAAATGACCACTTCACAGCTTTTTCAAGTACAGTTTCCCAAACGGTGAAAGTGGCCCACGTGATCTTTACGATTCTGTCTACCAAAATTTTCAGTGGTTGATGCAAATGGATTATTTCTATTGGAATGAATTATAAAAAGAGCTATGAAAAGGTATTTACACTATGTGATTTTTTTTAATCTGACATGTCATCTATCTGCATTTCAGAAGCTGCGAACGCATTGTCCTCATGGTCCAAGTCAACACGCTGTCGCTTGCCACCGCGACCACCTGGTCCTTGCTCTTCCCGTGAGAACTTTTTACCAGTCTTCTCTCGCAACGCTTCAACGCCTTCCTCCTCTGCGGCCCATTCGAGCACCAAATGTCTTCCGTACAAATGGATGCTGCTCATATTGTCATATACATTCTTAGCTTCTTGCTTGGTCATTAATTCCAAGAAGGCAAAACCACGATGTCCGCCATTAAACTTCTTCGGTATACGCAGGGACTTGAGTTGACCGAATGAACTGAAAAGACACCGTTAGAAGGAATGCTAGTACTGACATTAAACATATAGACACATACCCAAATAGTTCTCGAAGATCCTTCTTAGTGGCTTCGAATGGAACGTTGCGAACGATGAGTTTAGTTCCTTGTACAACTGATTTACCAGTGCCAGGCTTGCCCGTCTCGTTCGTATTTGACTTCCTATGTGAGAACTTGATCTGCAAGGAGTGCCCATCCAAATTGTATCCCTGAAATGGAAATGATGTATGATTAGCGGGGAAGATCAGTGCACAGCTCAATTTGAATTTTATAGAAATTAAGCTCTCATTACCTGCATTGCCTTCATGGCCTTATCAGCATTCTGCTTGGTATCATATTCGACAAATCCAAATCCCATGCTGAGTTTCTTGCCAGGATGCTTAGGGTCATCCTTGACATTGATTCTAGAAGCTCGATATCCCTGAATACTAGAGAAGGCTTTTTGAAGCCCTTCAGCGGTGGTTGTGAAACTGAGATTTTTAACAAAGAGAGTAGAGCCTTCCACTGTGTCGAGATCGACAGTATCATTGTCAACTCCAACAAGGTCGCTTCCAGAAACGACCTTCTTTCCTTCTTTGGGTTCCTCCGCTGCAGCAGCCTTGGCGATGGCCTCAGGATCATATTTGGCATTGAATACTCCTTGGGGTGCTTTCTCCAAGTAGATAAGAGTGTCCTTGAAACGTCGATAGGCCAAGGCGGCAAAAGCGGATCTGGCTTCACTTGGTTCTAAAAACTCCACAATGGCAATGGTTTTGGCTGGAGGCAACAATACCCGACCAAGGTCGCCATGTTTGCCGAAAAGACTTCGCAGCTCATCTTCGCTGGTACCATAGGGAATATTTTTGACCAAAATGACAGTATCACTTCTTTCCTTCTTTGAGAAGGCGTCCAAGACTATACCATGCTTTGCGAAGAACTCTTTGGTTTCGGTTATAATTTGAGTTTCGGCAAGTGCCAGCCTTACTGCCTGATTGTCAGCTTCAGGATTGAGAACATCCGCCTTGGAGACACCGAGACGGTCAGCAATGGATGCAGCAACTGCATCACCGCTCATGAATAGTGAGTTCCAGTTAAAATCACTTCCAGCCTGTGCCTTTCTCTGCGTTTCTTTCTGCTTCTTGAGTGTGCTCATCTTGGATCCATTAGGTCCAGCATCCAATTCTTCCTTAGCCTGGGGTTTCTCCTTGGCAGGTAAAATATGAAGCAAACGGCCTTGGAAGAATTGCTGATCTAGAGCTTGATAAGCCTTGATAGCGTGTTCAGGAAGCAAGTAAAGAATGTAGGCAAAGCCCTTGGGTTTTTTGGTATCTTTGGTAATGGGCATATGAACTTCTGAAAGCGGTCCGAATTTCGCAAAAGCTCTCTTTAAGTCTTCTTCCGTACAAGTGTATGGCAAGTTACGAACAAACAATCTGCCGGTGTCAGAAATAAGCTCAATAGGAGATGACTCTGGCTGAATGGGAAGCTCCACAGGTGCTGAAGAGGGACCTGCAGAAGGTGCTTCCTCTGATGCTGGTTCGACATCGTCAACCTTCATGTCTTCCTTGTCCGAGTCGTCATCGATGTAGTCTCCTCCTTCATTATCAGATCCATTCTCTTCTTCATCTTTTTCCATCTTTTCAATGTCCTCATCTTCATCGACTTCAATATCTTCGTTTCCGGCATCCTTAAGAGTCATTTTCGAACGCATATAGTCCAGATCAGACATGCCATTGATAGCTGATTTGTCTTCTTCTTTAACCTCTTCTTCGTTTTCGTCTTTTGCATCTTCAGTTGGCATGCTGTCGTAAAGCTCATCATCCGAGTCATCGAAGGTGACGTGAGTCTTTGTCAGAACTTGACCAACACCTCCAGTTTTTCTGTTGGCGACAGCAACTGTTGCAACTTTGGGAGCCGCTTTCTTCTTGGGTTTACCGTTAGGAAGCGTGTCTTCTTTGTCAGCGTCCATATCGTCGTTTGCCCAGGTTCGACCCTTCGTTCTGGAAGCCATCACACCTAGATACTCTTTCAACTTTGGATTCTCCATATCTTCGTACAGCTTAGTGAAATGTTGCTTTTTCTTTTCCATCTCTTCCTTATGTGCATCTTTCTTCGTATCCTTTTCAGCAGGCTTGACAGGCTCCTGCTTCTTCTGTGTTTGGACGCTCTTTTGAACATTGGCAGAAGAGCCAAGGGAATGGGAGCTCCATGGTCGTGGTAGTGATTTGTCGCCAATCTGCACAAATCAACACTATTAGCCACAAAGTGACGTACAGAAAGCTTAAATAATATACTTGTATGAACTTACAGGTTTAGACTTCTCGACGATGATTTTAGATGTGTCGATGTAAGTATCATTAAAATACCTCTTGGCTCGAGAAGCATCTTTCTCGGTTCGAAAACCGATGAAGGCGAATCGGCGAGATGTACCGTCACTATGCAAAACCATGATTTATTAGCTCTTTCCATTTGCTCTCGAATACGTAATCAGGAAAGTAAACTACTCACGATGTCTTCATAAGTTTTGTGTCGGTGACTTCTCCCTGGGAGGCAAAGTGCTCCCGCAGACGCTCTTCCGACAAGTGCTTGGGCAAGTTCTTGACAATCAGTCGAGACCTAGATTGAATCCGTTCATTAGCGACTGTTATGATAATAGTGCACTGTATAGCATGATATTGATGTCTACTTACATTACAGCAATTCCCAAAAGTGATAGTAGAGCAGCAGTGGCAACTGGAAGGGATTTTTTTTTTTCGCAGAAAGGCATATTTTAACGGTCACAATAGTTCACGTGATTGGTGTAGGCAGCAATAATTTTTGTTGAAAGCTTTCGTCGAGAAGCACAACAAACTTGTGGCAATAATACAATGTCAGCACAAAGGCTTGCTTCAGTTACGAAAAACGGCGTCGGTGCCTACGTCTTGCAATGCAGAAAGATGGTTTTCAACTACTGCGAAAACTGGGGTAGCAACAAGGGAATGATGTAAGGCCCATTCAACTTTGTTGAACTGGTACAATGGTCCTGGAATTATTGAAAACTAACCTGTAAATCAAATTTAGCAACTACCTCAAGAAAGACATTGTCGAGTTTGCCAAGGCTAACCCTCAGATTGAGGTTGTTGTTGAGCAAAGACCAGCGCATCACCCTGTCATTCGAGGAGAATACTGTAAGTCTAGCGGCTCTGAAGTGTACACTACACAGTGACTATCATAATAACCATCAATCATACAACCTAGTGAATGGACGTGAAAAGGTTATTTGCGTACGAAATATGGCTCCATTTGAGATTAAGCAGAAAGTTCAGCTTCTCAAGGATTCAAGCGGTGCTAAAATGAAGAACTTGACCAAGCGACCTGTCCTTTCTACCACAGAGAGTGTCCGAGGCATTTGGTCTCCATTCCACACCAACCCCCACAAAATCTAGATGGATATCTCAACATTATATATAATGGGAGTTATATCTTACAACCTTCTATTGCAACCTCTCACCCTTCAAAATTCATGTTCATTCCTCAGAGCTTGAAGCACATGTACCATAACAAATAGAAATATAGTCTTTTTTTAAACCTCACGTCCGTCTGGAATTAGCATTGGCCATTTTATGTCGTAGCTGGATAGTACGATGTAAAGCTATAGATAGTACGATATGTAGTAAGCGGAATCTTCTACAGGGTGTCTCATTCACCACAGTCTAAGCCAACTGCTGATTGATATGAAACCACTACTTTTCAGGCAAAAATCTGACAAACTAGCATGATATGCCTACAGGTACTTGGAAATAGCAATATGTCGAACTTACACAGGTTGCGTACACCGTAAAAAGGTTTGTTTTGAGTTAAAGTGGTATTGGCCAATGCCTTTTGGGCCAGCCAGGTCCGACGCGACAAAACGCGAGGCTGTTAATTAAATTTTTGTAAAAACCAACTCGCGTCTCAATTCCGTTTTTTTCTTCATGGTCAGAATCTACAAAAGTAGGTGGCATGAAGCCTATGAAAAAATCAAGCAAGATTCCCTTGAAGGCAATTGCATAGTATTTGTTGCATCGGACGTAGATGCGTTATGCGCTTGCAAGATTTTACAGGTAGAAAATTCGTTCCTTGATTCAGCCGTCAGACCGATCGTACTGATCATGATCACAACTCTTGTAGACTCTTCTAAAGGGCGATTTCATTCCACACAAAATTGTTCCAGTCTCCAGCTATTCTGACCTAAAGGAAGCCAACACTGAGCTTGTTCAGACGGACGATGAGGTACGCAGCTATATACAAGCGCTCTGTATATTTGAGAGTTTTTCACTGATCATAACTACAGTTACGAACCATTATTATGATCAATTGTGGAGGAATGGTCGATACCACGCTCTTCATTGATCCTCCTGTAAACGTTACCATGTACATTATCGACAGTCATCGGCCACTGAACCTTGATAACATGTTCAGCAGCACGCAAGTCGCCGTATTTGATGACAATGAAGATGAAGTATATATGAAGGAGCTGAGCGAAGCATACGAGAATGTCACTGTAAGTACAAGCAACTCAAAGTACCTATGAAAGATATCCACATCTCATTAGCGCATCATAGTATGATTCATCGGATGACGAGGACGAAGGAAGCTCTGAAGAAGAAAGCGAGGAGGAGGGGAATGAAAAGGATGACGATGAAACTGACGACGGTGGAGAGCGCCCAAGGCTAGAAAGTGATCGACCCCGTCAACGGCGGCGGCTTAATGATGATGAGGTAAGCTCGCAATGAAGTAAAATAATAGTAATGCGTACTCTGACCCTCGGTATGTAGGGTAATTCTGCGAAAGCAAAACGTGCGAAAGCAAAAAATAGTCGACTGAAGATAGCGCAATATTATTCTTCGGGGATGTATTATAGCCAGTCTGTAGCGGGAATTGTCTATACCTTAGCAAATCAACTTGATCGCACGACCAACGACCTTTTATGGTGAGACTTTGCTTTGCTCGAGCCCCTTCTTTGAACGACACTAATAGCTTTGGATCCATTTCTAGGTTTGCAATCACTGGAGTCACTTCACAATACATCACAGAACACATCGATTCACCTATATACCTCGATCAATTGCGCACGTTCATGGATGACGTCGCGAGATTCAATCTACCACAGGATACTTCATCTCAAACTATTGATACAGCCATCAAATTTGAGGATGAATACAGATTCATGTTGTATCGCCACTGGAGTTTATACGACAGCATGTTTCACTCTGGTTATGTTGCAAGCAAACTTGGTGTGTGGAAGGAGTTTGGCAAAAAACGACTGAACAATATGTTTGCAAAAATGGGGTAAGTCCTCATCATTGATTTCTCGTATATGCGATAGACATATATCTGACCACGTACACTTCTGCCGTAGTTTTTCTCTCTATCAGTGCCAACAAGTATTCACTCACATGGATATGGATTTAAAAAAGATTTTACGATCTAAGATCGATTCAGTTGCACCCCTCTATGGCTTGACTGACATATGTTTTCCAAGTTTTTCACGCTCATATGGATGGCGCGGTCAAACATCCGCCAGTGACGCTGTATATTCTCTTTCAGCATTACTGGAAACATCTCCAGAAGTTGCGCATCGTCTTGGAGAGACAGTGGAGTGGAACAATGGTGAACAATGGGGCACTGACCCTGAAGACGCCGACAAGGAAACTGCCAGTGGAGAGCCAGAGACACCACGGCCCAAGAAAGTCAAAAACCGGTGGTGGTTGCAAAATTTCTATACAGCTTATGATGCTCTTGACAGGTACAAAGTCATTCTGGCGTTCATGAATTTTAAAACACGGATTATGCTAATGTTAAGTTCGTTTTTCCCCTAGTATCGAAGGAATGCAACGTGGTCTTGGCTTGTGTATGAAACTTCAACGCGTCATTGTACAGCAAGGTACAGCCATGATTGAGAAAAAGTCGGTGAAGACTCTACGAACTTTTCGCTTGGCCATCATCAAGGATGGCCCTGACATTTCATTATTTACGCATCCCTTGACACTATCTAAACTCGCACTGTTTTTGGTTGATGCATACCGGGTAAAGCAAATTGCTTAAAATGAAATATGTGCCTTTCCGCCTATCTAATTTTTTCCATTATTACCAGGAATATGGTAAACGCAATCTTCCCTTCGTGATCGGCACTCTGAATGAAGAACAGGGATCATACCTAGTGGTGGGTGTTACGGGCGCACCAACTTTTGGAGACGTGCGACAAAAGTAAGTCTGACTACCATTGTATGTGCAAATAATGATGATGGTCTTTGGGTCGCTAACACGATGACCTTCGCACACAGTCATTTCGGAGCTGCCTTCCAAGACGCCGTCAAACGTACCAAAGCTCATGTAAAACATGATAGCTTCGAGACATCGGTCATGGAAATCAGGCAAGACGACTTGGAGAACTTCATAGAAAATCTGCATCTCGGTGCATAATTACAACCATGCCATAATGCACGGTGCTGACATACTCTCAACAATGTAACATACCCCTCCCAAACATGCTATTCTTAAAATACGTAGTACCATGTTCGTACTCTATATCAAAACACGAGACTATTTATTTTTTTTAGATTACAAAAAGTGACCAAGAGGGTATTATTTATATGGAGTGCGAGATAATTCCACTAAGCTTCACTAATAAGCTTTGTGAGGCCAGCATCAAATTGATCCGATCGTATGGGCATCTCGGGAGTGTGGAAAGGATTCTTCATGACAAAGTTACTGTACAAGTCATACACCTTTTTCTGGAGGACCTCTACATTTTGATGTTGCGGATCGGTGACCAAGAGGAATTTGGTTCCTGAAGAAAATAGCTATGTGTTACAAAGTGTAGGCAATGGGCACTGACCATTCACACAATAACGTACCAGTCAAGGTTTGCGTGCAAATTAATTTGAAAGTCTCTGCTTCTAGTACTTCTATGCCAGAAGATGATGGTACTGGTGAAATTTTGGAAGTAATGGCGTGTACTCTGGATGAAGGAAGATTGGTTAGGTGTTGAAGATCAACAATGGGGGCACAGTGTGGTATTCATCTTCCGTACCCGTGAAAAGTACCAGCAAGAACAAGGTAATCGTTACTGGAGAGCTTTTCAAGCTGTTCTGCGAAATCTCGTTGGTAGACTAAACCGCCTGCCTTGTTGATAATGTACAATGAGTAGATCATGTTGGGGGGAGGTCTTTTAATTTTGCGGGCCCAACCCTGAGCTCCTTAAGCGAGTGATAATATGACGTATCCAGACTCCGCTTCACTCTTTCACTGCTTCACACCTCCATTGCCACACCCTTTTCACTCCATTCCACTCCATACTTTTACAAACAATGTTCACCGGCAAAGATATTCCTATTGAGAAGCGCTGGTATGTTATTGGTGCGCATCAGGCTGGTGCATCTGAGCGTCAGTGCGCCCGTCTCTCTGGCCTCTCAAAAACCGCAGTGCACGGCATCATAAAGTCCTTCACCGAAACCGGATCCCCACTTTCTTGTCGACAACAACAAAGCTTACATCCAAGTGGTAAGTTATAACAAGTTGTCTGAATGAATGCGCACTTGGAAGACAAGTAGATACGCTTCAATCAGTCGGATCCAAGGCAAATGACGACAGGTACCATGGAAACTAAACCCTATTGTTCTCTTTACTACTTTATAGCAAAGCGAAAGCTTTCATTGGAGTCAGCCTACAACTCAATCGATATAGCTCGACGATCTTCGGAAGATTACGAGGTAAGCGCACACGATATACTTCTCTCCACCACAAATCCGCAAGCAACTCCTTGCCTACCCCAAGATCCTTGAAGATCAGGACCGATAAATTAAATTACGGCTCTATGATATAGGTTGTTGGCATCTGTGCTGAAGTTTTCAAGCGGCGTAGGAGCTCACATAGTCGAGAGGAAGATCAAGGGCTAATCCATCATACAGCAAGTAAGGCACATAAGCCAATGGGCGAGGACGATGGTTCCATAAGTGAATCGGTAAGTGAACTATGAGAACTTTATACTGGATGAGAAGTACGATATATTGAGGTCCGATCGCCAGGTTTACACAGAACGGGCCATGTCTCGCCCTCTTACTCCACCTTCAGACGCAGAAACACCGAAACCGGACGAAGACACTTCTGCTGATGATGCTTTATCAATGGACTCTAAGTGGTCTTTGGAGGATGACCTTATTTTATTAGAGCACGTGTTCAAAAATCACAAGGCTCAGTGGATGATCGTGGAGCGGGAGTTGCAAAAGAAGCATACCGCGTCTCTGTGTAGTGAACGATGGGATAGTCTCAAGAGGAAGCTACTCAATAGCTATACCTCGTCTCTCGCTGTTCGACCTACAGAGAACAAATGTAATATATGATCTTTGATGCCATGATATAGTATTGTACATTTTTTAAATACATTTAACTATTCGCTGAACAATTATAACCACACATTTTGTATCTACGCGATTTGAATTCTTTTGTCCTTTATGAACACATTGAAACCAAAGTGTGTGAATAAATTAATTCTATGGTACAAAACACGTTGAGCCGCTGCGCTGCGACGTCGAGCCACAGTGCGGAATATAAGTATGTATTATTGGTTCATATATGTACAATAGTGCAGTGTAGTTCAGTTGTGCTATATTACTCTTTATGCTCTTCGTTTGCGTTTGATGCATTGGAATCGGTGACGATGGCGGTGTGAAATTCTCGCCAGAGAGAAGCAACATTGTCAAAGTCTTTTCCAATGGTATTGATTGTTTCGAGATTACGGTTCAGATGAGCCATGTTGGTAATAACTTGTTCGAGGCCTTGTGCAACGTTTTCAAGAAGGGCATCACGCTCCTTTTCGAAAGGTACTCGTGATTCCATTTATCCACTTTTGTTTTTTAAAAAGGATGCGTGTTGTTGCGCGATGGTGGCAAGGTACTGAATTATACGTCTCACGTGAACACGCGTTTATTTTTTCTTGGGTTGTGTGTGCTTCAGCAAAAGTCTCCCAAAATTGTCACAGTCCACTTTCAGTCTCAGAAACCAGTTGGCTTTGCATTTCACCTTTAATTACAACCAACCATGAGCAACAAACGAATGAAGGGTACGGTCGCTACTCGCGCATTGTACTATGGCAACACAGCGTACCCGATTCTAGGGAAAAAGGCCAACGATAGTGATCACACGCATAAATGGACCGTTCTGGTGCGAGGAGTCAACAATGAAGACATCAGCTTCTGGATCAAGAAAGTTAGCTTTCGGTTACATGAAACATACCCTAATCCACAACGAAGTAAGTAAAGAAAGTTTGATTGGTCTCGTTGATAGGATACTTATACCTCTATCCTAGCGATCGAACAGCCGCCGTTTGAAGTAAGCGAGACAGGATGGGGAGAATTTGAGATAGCAATCAAAATATACTTTCACGCAGCTTCTGGAGAAAAGCCAGTGACACTCTATCACCATTTACGACTACATCCATATGAAGATGATGGTACAGGACAACCATGGCCCAAAGAGAAGCCTGTAACAAGCTTTAATTACGACGAAATTGTAAGTGTCCTTCGCCCAAACCGTACCCTTTTGAGATGAATCGATATTAAATATAGTTCACAGGTCTTTAATGAACCAACCGAAGCATTCTATCAAGTTTTAGCAGAAAACAACGCTCTAACCTTTCAATTACCAACCAAGAAATCAACCAAGGAACCGGCTGTGCCGTTTACAACCATGGTGGAGCAAGAAGAATTAGATCGTCTAGATAAGGCATTAAGAGAAGTCAATCGACAAGTGCAAAGAGAACGACAGAGAGCCGAAGCTATAACAGAAGAGTCGGCCATGTATAAATAAACGGTTACTTTTCCAATAAAAATTATTTCAGGGCCAATTTAATCATCACCGGTGGTTGGGAAACCTGGGGTATTTTGTTTCATACTTCCTATCGTTCTCTATTAACATGGTCAATGCATTGGCCGAGGAAGCATCAGCTAGTACTGCTGTTCCCTCTACGTCCAATGGCGACATTTCACTTCCTCCCACCATGGACATTGAGAACCGGCAATCACAAACCAGCAGTCCAGTAGCTTCAAAGGCAAAACCGACTCAACCTACCACAGCGTCTGCGGCAGAAATCGCTAATCCAGATCATCCTCATCATCGACACCATCGAACTATAAACGACTTTGAGTTAATGGGAACTTTAGGAGAAGGAAGTTACTCAACGGTACTGATCTTTTGGAAGGTTATAACGCGAAAGACCTCACGTTTTTCTAACGCTATGATTTTGTACAAATCAGGTCTTGGCAGCTAAAGACAAGAAAACAGGTCAATCCTATGCCATTAAAGTACTAGATAAATTCCACATCATCAGAGAGAAAAAACAAAAGTATGTCAATATCGAAAAACTGGCTCTAATTCGTATGAACCATCCCGGCATCGTCAGCTTATACTGGACGCTGCAAGACAGAAATAGCTTATGTAGGATACTAGTGATTTCAGAAATCGGAGGCGATGGCATTGATTTTAAACTAACAGCATGTCGTCGTCAGATTATGTCATTACGTTAGCTCCTCATGGAGAGCTTCTTACATACATCAAGAAGGTGAGCTCTTTGATTAATTTTTGGTGAGCGAGTGTAACCCAAACTCATGGATTTTTTTACCAGCTGGGTTCATTTGACCTGGCAACTACGCAATTTTATGCTGCCGAGATTTTATCAGCCTTGGAGCACGTCCATTCGAAGAAAGTCATTCATAGGTACATGTTTTGCGAATCAATTGATTGTTCAATGCTCATAATATGTATTAACCGATGTATTATCTCGTTAACAGAGACGTAAAGCCTGAAAAGTAAGCGCAACCAAAAACCTGTTGTCTCCCATTGTTGGTTGTTCTGACTGTCAAATTGTATTAGTATACTTTTAGATGAAAATATGCACATCAAGCTGACTGACTTTGGATCTGCGAAATTGCTGGACGAAGACGAAGCCCCCATCAGCCAAGCACCTCCTCCAAATGAAGATATAGAAGAAGGTAAGGAATCTCGTCGAGATGGGGGGTTTTATAAATATTTTAAAAAATATCAGATTATTCAACTGTAATTTTAAATCTATGATGTAGGGCGAAGGGGAAGACCCAGAGCAAATTCATTTGTAGGTACTGCAGAATACGTGTCTCCCGAGTTGCTCTCTGCCAGAGCAGCCTCCAATGCGTCGGACTTTTGGGCGTTAGGCTGTATCATTTACCAGCTGCTGGCCGGCAAGCCACCGTTCAAAGGAGCAACGGATTGGCTTACATTTGGAAAGATTCAACGCCTTGAATACAACTTCCCGGGATCCTTTCCTGTTGTAGCAAAGGATCTAGTACAGAAGCTGTTGGTACTCGACCCGAACGTTCGCTTAGGGTCAGAAGAAACAGGAGGCGTAGAGGCATTGAAGGCGCACACATTTTTCGAGGGAATTCAGTGGGATCAACTTTTTACCAGTGATGCCCCCAAACTACGTCCGTTCTTGCCGAAAATGGATGGCATGAATGAATATGATCTCACCAGTGAGAACAACGTATTCTTTCAACGCCAAGGCCATAGTTTTGATGATATAGCCCGCGATCCATTTGAGGACGACTATGGCTCGGAAGCGCGCATTAGTATGGTGAGTTTTTCAACAACGACTTATTTGTTTGCAGATTTTTGGTACTGACGCAAAGTAACTTTATTTTACACTCTAGGCTAGCGGAAACGGCTCAGAATCAGTGACACCGGAGGAAGGATCGATGGCCAAAGCCAAATTGGCTTCACGTGCCCATAAGCCTCCTCGCCCCCACACTAGTACACCTCGATCCAACGCAAGCAGCATAAGAAGTGGAGGGATTAGCAGTCTGGCTGAAGAGAAAGCAGCCGAACGTCAAAAGAAACTTACTGAACAAGCCAATTCTCCATGGTAGGTATTATGGTGGATTCTTCTAGGCCATACTTCAAAAATGTGCAGCTAATATAACAGCGTAAACAGGAGCAAATATTTGCACAAGGATGAACTCATAATACGAGCTGGACGAGTCAACAAACGTCGAGGGTTGTTCTCCAAAAAGCGATACTTGATCTTAACCGATCGCCCAAGACTGTTTTACTGTGAAGATGGCGCCAAATCTTCGTCTGTGCCCAAGGGAGAGATATTTTGGACGCCCAAAATGGTTCCCGAACTAAAAGGCAAGAAACAATTTTGGATACATACGGTAAGTCCCGGAGGCAGTAGAGCGAAAGGGGTTTTAAACATGGCTTTGGTCTAACGTACCCTGATCGCCCCATTTAGCCTCACAAGACATCCTATTTTGAAGATCCCGAAGCAAAGGCGGAAGAATGGGTTAATGCAATCAATACATTGTTGGTGAACACGTTTGGGGTAACTACCTGATCAAGATTTCCTGTGGTTGGACGTGCGCGATGTGTTTGTCATACTCTTCGCGAAAAGGATAAGACGTTTCGGAAGGCAGACTTATCAAAATTTGATCAGTTGTACGATGTTAGATTTTTATACTCTATTTTTTTTTTATCTTCCTCTTTCTTCATTTCAAGCCTGATTGTATAAAGTAAAAGAAGGGATTGTTCATAAATGTATTTGCAAATATAACACAGTTAACAAAATGAAAGTAAGAAGGTAAAGTAGAAACTGACTGGTATGAGTGCGCTGTTGTGCTTTTTTTTTTTCTTTTTTGGCGGAGGGGATATAGCAACCAGATTCTCAGAAGAAAAAAAGTTAGGGTTCTGATAAAGAAAGTTATGTACAAAATGAAGTATTTTTGACTTTTTGGAAATGGTGTAGGTCACACCATCAAATAGAAAAAAAAAAACAAGCAAAAGAAGGTGAATGTTGCCTTATAAGAATAATAGGAAGATGAAAAAAAAAAAAACAAGAAGATGATGTACAATAGATCGATTGTTCAAACGCGTAAGGACAGGAAAAGGGGGTGATTGTGCAAAATAACAGGGCAGAAAAGTGAGTGGAATGGATTGTACAAAGCAAGGCGGTATGCATGGAGGATATAGTACAGATAGTGTGAGGATATTTAAGGCGTGGCAGGCTGTTGTTCGTAGAGCTTGAGAACGAGCATAGCAGCGAGGGACTGCGCGGTTTGTGGGTTATTATTCAGTTGATCGCAACGCTGATAAATGAGAGAGGCCTAAAATAGGATGTGTAAGACATGATGTCTGACTGAGCTTGCCAAGTCAAAGGAAAAAGATGCTTACCTCATTTTCAGCGAGAAGTTGTAAACGCTTTTGTATCAAGCACCATTCATCAGAGGCCATATTATCAAAGGTAGTCAAAGCTTCAACTTGCTGAAGTTTCCATTGTTGCAGTGCTTGGTAAGCAGCGGCCATACCAATCGTTTTGTCACTGACATGAGGTTGATGTTCTAGATAAACCAACATGTGAGCTTCTTTGAAAGCTTCAACGTTGCCGCCCGATCCAATTGAACTGTTGGACCCCCGTTTACTGGGGCTGATCTCACGGACAGATATATCGAGTTCATCTACGCTGGAAGACACGGATGATGGTATGTTTTCTGACATATAGTCAGCCGCTTCGAATTCCCATAGCTGTGATTCGTTATCGAAATCCTTGGCGGGGTATAAGAGCAGCTTTGGATTTTGTGACGCGTGCGTATGTTGCACGTCGAGAACCCACTCATCGTTACTCAAAGAGCAAATAAAGGTTCCATTTTGTTCTCGACCAAGATCGTCCGCGCATTGACGTGTAGACCACCTTTGATTCATAGCCTTTTCGGCTGGCTTTGGAGTAAACAGACAGATTTCGGTATCTTCAATAAGACGCAGGCGACCTAAAGTGTGGGTAAAAAATAAAATAAAAAATAGGCTGGCGGTAAGTAAACGAACGTGCATGAAAGGCGGGCAGCAAGCCTATTTTTTTGGGCATACCTTTACGAATATCTAGGACGAGCTTAGTAGCCTTGTTTTTAAGGTATTGACCGTCCCATTGCCAAAGTTCGTATGCGTCGTTTTGCGCAGGGCATACGTAAACTTGCGAACGAACAAGCTCACTCGTGTTGTTGATGAGGGATCTATCAATGGTGACCACATAGCCATTGAATAAAGATCGCATACGAAACCATTCGGGAAATACAGGTGACATTCTTGTTGGACGTGAATAAATAAGGACTTGTAAACAAAGAAAGGGGATAAAGGCTTTAGGATGGAAAAAAATGTGCTTCAAGTGAAGTGGCCTTATATATGGGTGGAGGACCCGAGGCACAAGGAAAAAAAATAACTAAAGCCCACGGACACACAGTCCACCTTCTTAGCAGTGTGACAGGCAGTTACCAAGAATACAGTACAACTTTGTGCATCCCGAGTCTGGGCTCTGTGCTTCATCTTGATTTCATGAGACTTTTTCTGCATCACATTCTTAATAATACATAACTTTTTGTTTTACCTGTTCCATTTGTCAGGGAGTCTATCACAAAAGGCATGTTTAAGCGGACATCTGATCTTTCAGTAACCATGACTGGTACTTGGTAAGCTCGGAGAAAAACCAATAAACCAGCCTCCTATCCAATGAAAGGACGGAGTTCACCATTTGAATTTGCCTTTTTGAAAACAAGAACCTATCAACGTCTCATCACCCCCCAATAGCCCCCGTCACCATCACGGTAAAGTTAGTCATCTGATCACTGACAACTCGATGGTTGTACTATGTGTAGCCCCAGAGCTTTGAAGATTCTAGCACCCTGTCGTCTCGTTAGCAGGTGTCGCGCAATTGTGGCTCCGTTCTTTACGACTTCTATTCTTTTTTATTGCCTGTCCTGACTTTTTTTTGCCTCGCACATCACATGTCACAATGGGTGAGTCGGTTTCATTCCAATATTTGTTCTAAACATAATAACCGGGATGTAAAATACCAATTTAATGATATCTCCATAAATTGAACATTTTGTTTAGCAATAAATTTGTCACGATTGTTTTGAACCAATGCCATTCTACATAATTAAGATTTCTCGGTGGTCGTATCTTTTGGAAGGAGGACCGTTCACATCAAATGCCCATGAAGGCGGCTATTCAAAAAAATCCTCCACCAGCCTCCACAGGGTCTGTGTGCATATCACAAGATCATCTAGTCCACTCCCAAAGTTGCAAAGCTGCAGCAATGTTGAATCCCTTTATTAAATTTTTTCAAACAAGTGCCAAGTTTCATATCTAGAGAAAGCACGTTCCTGGAAGCAGAAAGCGCGATGGCTACACTTTGTGAAGCTTAGGTTGAGGCGCTGCTCGCAATGTTCCCACCAAGATAACCCATAAGGCGGTAAGACGTTTTATGCCTAGATCGGCCATGTTACAGTGGCGGACAAATTACTCAACTCCCCGCCAATCGTATCTGCTGCCCGCCTTCTTGTCACTGTCGTTAGCCTCTTGCTTTTCCGCTCGTCAAGCTAACTTGCTAGAAGATGCCTGTACGTGTTTATTTTTTTACTGTAATGCTTAATAAATACCCACGATACACTACCACCTAGATGTACCGTCGGTATCAACCAGTATGCAGTACCATTACACTGGCACTTGTACAACCCTAGCATGAACCAGTGGCGAGCAGAGTTACAACCAACTCCCAGCAACATTAATAGCCTTTTCTCCACTTGAAACGATCACACGACATATACCATAAATTTCTCTAGAACCGTCTCTTTCAATCCCCACTTTCACTGTGTCATTCCCTTGCGGAATTCGAAGCGAAAGTTTCCTCCTCCAACGCCTGCTTTTTTTCCCAAAGGAGTATGAAGTGTAAGCACTTGTTTTTTTTTTTTTACGGTCATGTTCTACTTTTGGATTTTTGTGAGCGCATTTTTGTTTATCACCGGTTTCTGTCATCCATGCTGACGGACTACGTACTGTCGATTTGAATCAATATATGACGCTGGTGGTTTTTCTTTATGTGATGAATAATTAAAAGAATGACAAAAATAAGAAGGTTATAGTATGGATTGGGTAAAAATGACCACCTATCAAACAAGCGAGATAGCAGCTGTAGAAGTCTCCCCGTCGTAAAATATACGCAAACGAGTGGAAGCATATGCATGCACAGCCAGTGTTGAGTAACGTGGGTCGATTTTTTTTGGTCCATGATGCGTGCCCGACGGATGCGAGTCCTTTTTCAATGCTTGTCTTGTAACGCTGCGACCATTGGTTCTACCATCTTTTGTAACTCATCACCAAAATCTAGAAAGAGACCTTCGGAAACACGTCAAAAAAAAAAATCATACGGCATATTTTTAGCAGCAATTCTTGCACCACTTTTCCAGTCTCCTTTCCTGCATTAACTCTCTTACTCACCTGTATTAGCTGTTGCATCGGCCACAAGTGAGATGATCAATGGATAACAATCTATTTGTATGACTTGATGTAATCCATAGATGCCTATGATGGATTTGTTTCTCTTCAATCCCATTTTTGAAGCCTACATGAAAAAGTAGCGCAGCGGCTGAGTTAGGTTTCCGTAATGTGACCTCACTTAGCTACAAACCAAAACTATAAGCCAACCTGATTATTAGCAATGGAAAATGCAGTTGATAATGATGGGTCAGTGACGCCAGCAGGAGCCTCGGGTGATACATCTGCATGGGCAAATCGGCATAAGCTTTGTGAATCTTATGGCAAGTGTACATTTTGGAGAGTAAACAAGTTGTACGAACATTCTAAAATCACCACTCCTTCTCGATCCGTCAAAAGAGCTGACTTGAGACCTTTCTCAAAATACGGTTGGACCAATTGTTGAAATGATTCTTTGGCTGACATGATTCCGTTCTTTTTCCCCCAAGGAACCACGAGTAGCTGGGGCACTATAGGGTCGGTTGTTAGATTTTGGGTGAAATCAATAGTCACAATTGAGTACGCCAGTCAGGCATATGCCGTTCCCAGTACCTTTTTCGCACCTTCATTTTTATACTTTAACTTCCTCTGTTGCTGCCTGTCCTGCTGTTTCTTCTCAGTTTAAAATATGGTTGACTCTGGAGCAAAACCTGTACGTATTGGCTGCTACTCAGCTTTTTGGGGCGACTCAGCTGCTGCTGCTCTGCAGCTCGTAGAACAAGAAGGCTCGAACCTTGATTACCTCGTTGCAGACTACCTTGCTGGTACGGACACTTTGCTGTAATTCAAATCACCGTTTCAACAACATCTTGACTCACTTCTTTTCTATTATGTAGAGGTCACTATGGGTATTTTAGCCCGTCGCAGAAAGCGATCCACAAAACTCGGTGGCTCAGGAGCAGGTGGATATGTTGCAGAGTTTATTACCCTCGTCTTGAATCGAATCCTTCCTCAAATTATGGAAAACGAAACTAAAGTCATTACGAATGCTGGAGGCTTGGATCCTATGGCATGCAAAGCTGCGATTGAAGCTGCATTGACGAAGGCTGGTATCCCTCTCGACCAATGCAAGGTAGCCGCTGTGTACGGAGACGACCTCATTTCTGATACAAAAACAACGTTGGCCCATCATCCTGAAGTACAAGCCTTCTCTGCGACATCCAATCCCAAAGATACCGATGCACAACCAAAGCCCGATACCCCATTATCGTCCTTGAATGCCTACCTGGGTGCTAATGCTATTGCAAAGGCATTGAATGACGGAGCAAAAATTGTCGTAACGGGTCGTGTAGTGGATTCAGCATTAGTGGTTGGCCCTCTTTTGCATGAATACGGTTGGAAGTCATCTCAATCAAATTACTATGACTTGCTTGCATCAGCTTCATTGGCCGGACATATCATCGAATGTGGATGTCAAGCGACTGGAGGTAATTTCACTGACTGGCAACTCGCCGCCAACTCTGAACATGGAGGATATGCAAACATGGGATACCCAATTGTCGAGTTCCATAAGAATGGTCAATTCGTCGTGACCAAACCAAAGATGACAGGTGGTTTAGTTTCCGTCGCCACCGTCGCTGAACAAATGCTATACGAAATTTTGGATCCCGGCGCATACCTCTTACCAGATGTGATCTTGGATATGCGAGGCGTAGAACTAAAGCAGCTGGAGAAGAACAGAGTTCTTGTCACTGGTGCGAAGGGCCGAAAGCCAACCAAGTATCTAAAGTGTTCTGGAGTCTGGGTGGATGGTCATAAAATCAGCGGCGAGCTCATGATTGGTGGAGAAGATGCTCGCGAAAAGGCCCTGGCTGTTGGTAATGCCATCATTACAAGAGCCCGCACGCTGTTACAAGCATTTGGCTTGGAAGACTTTAGGGGTACGAATATCGAAACATTGGGAGCGGAAGGGACCTATGGGTAAGTGATCCCTCCAAGCGAAAATGATGGCCTTGAGGTAAATGATATTGATGATGTGTTTATCTTCTTAGTCCACACTCCACCATGACCAAAAGTCGTGAAGTCATTCTCAGACTGACAATACATCATGATAACCCTATGGCTTTGAGGCTATTTGGTATGGAAGTTGCTCCGGTATGTGAATGTTTCCGAGTGTTCTTTGCTTCAATGCCAAAATTGACATCATTTCACCCGATCTAAGTCGGCTACTTGCATGGCCCCTGGTATTACCGGAGCAGGAGCAGGACGTCCAGCACCTATGAGTAATCTTGTCCATTTCTCATGCCTCATCCCTAAGAATGATGTTCCAACTTATGTCTGTGTTGGCGAAAATGGTCAAGTCGAAAAAGTAGAGTGGGAGGCTTGGGACGATAGCAAAGATTATTCTACTCCACCAAGCCTTGTTCCCTACGACGAAACCGTTCCTGAAACCCAAAACTTGCAGAAGGTCAAGTTGATCAAGTTGGCTAATGGTCGAAGTGGTGACAAAGGCGACGTCTGTAACGTTGGCATCATTGCGCGCGACCCACGATATCTTCCATACATCAAGAAAGCTCTTACTGAAGAAGTGGTTTATAAGTACATGCAACACCTGTGCCAAGGATCTGTTACTCGATACGAGCTTCCAGGTGCCCATGCCCTCAACTTTGTTCTAACAAAATCCTTGGGTAAGTCTATCTTGTGTCAGAGATATCGAAATCAAGGCACATTAGCCCTGCATGTCAAGAATGAACCTAACCCTATTGTCGCCAATGTTTATTAGGTGGAGGTGGCCTCAGTTCCCTGCGCATTGATAGACAAGGCAAGACTTACGCACAGATGGTACTCTCTGGTATCGATGTTGAAATTCCTGCCAACCTATTGAAGACGGATAGCAAGCTTTAAAAATTAGTCGTACATCCATAACGTTCCATTCAAACCCTAAATGTCTGATTACTAACAACAGTATAAAAACCCAATGAAGAAAAGATGACGAGTCAACTGGAGTTGTCATTCATTGTAAACATTTGATTTATTTTTACTTTATGAAACATTGTAAGCCTCGTGCTCATCTCGCTTTTGCTTTAAAAGCGATGTTTTGGAAGTAACACAGTTTGAACAAGTCATTCCCAAAAGTCTCAGTGGAGCACTTTATCTAAAAGGAATCGTTGAAACTCTGCTCAACTTGGGAAAAAAAGTCATGAGATTTTTCATTTGCTTTTTGTGAAGCTGGGAAAAATTAGTGATTTAACACCTCTCAATTGGTAAAAAAGGTTTACCCCACACCTCTTTTCTCCACCCACTTTTAAAAGGTACCTTGGCAACCAATGTCACTACCAAATCCAATAGACATAACAATATGACGATGATGAAGCACGATACTAGTTCAATGATTTTCAGACGCAGATGTACACAAGACCACTTCCTACAGGTACAAATGGTTGAACTCAGTCAGATTCAGATATTAATGAGGACAGGGCCTGTTATCAGGTTCAACGAATAGAGTCGCTGCGTTATCATGGATCTCCTAGCCTCTCGTGAAATCCCCATGCTTTACCGTGTTTCTACTAGAGCCGTCTGCACCCCGTCCGTTCTCTCATCCTCAGTTACTGAGCGGCCATTCAATTCGGAGCAAGTCCCGTCACTGAGCTTTGCCATTAGCAGCCATAACAACCCTTGCCATGCTAGGAAAGCAGCCAACAGCTTTTGCGGGGCTTATCGATTTCATTCTATAACCACGTACAAACGCGACTTCGCTGTACTGATAACAGCTCACAATCGATCACACTATCTACGCTTGTTTGGTAAACTATCAAGTCTTGCCTTAGCTACTTTACGTGCGAGTAGCCAGGACGACGACATGCGGAGACCATCTGGAATAAAAAGTTCAGTAGATGTGAAACGATTGATAAGAGTACTGCACATCAACGAAAGGACTCAAGATTAACTCGCTTTGTAAGTCCCACGAACCGACGAAATGTAGCCGTCCGGCAGTTCCGATATAAGCGCATGAACGTGGGGAGGATGCACTCAAACGACCCAAACAAATTTTGGGCTCTTTCTCTTACGGAATATGCTGTGTGAAGGGTATCCATTGTGGGAAAGCAAAAAAATCGCTCGCGAGCATAGCGCTGTGGCCGACCAATAACATCCATCTGATTTGAGGTGAAGTCCGACCTGTCCCCCAAGACGATGTAGAACTTTCATGGAATAATATCAAATATGATACTCAGATCGGTTTAGCTATCGACTTGAAAGCGCTGTCTTCAGCAAACTCTAGCTTTATCAGCATGGTGTCTTCCAGCTTCCACATAATGTGATAAGGTGGCGTCCATTGTTCTAGGAAACTTTTGGGAACATGTCGGATGTCGTCATGGAAGAAAATATCGGCCTAAGGTATATCGGCTACAAACAAAGCATAGATAGAACAATATTTCAGGTACCCGACTCGCAGTATATGGTAAAGATAGGGTTCGACGAACACAAGGCATTCAAAACCTTTCGAATTAATAGCGATTGCCGAATTCGTCGTGTCAGCGACTTCAGACCCACAGATAGATTGTACTACGTTTCAACAAACTTATGGCATACACACCATACAGAAGTGAACAGTAAAATTTGACAAGTAGCAATGTGATTGACTTTGGATGAATTACCAAAGTATGGTGCCGAATCATTGCATGAACACATCAACAAATATATCAATCATTTTCGGATGTCCTCAAGATAGTATAGGACGGCCAACGTCGTAGAATGTCAATTAGCATTCTGGAATGAGGCGGGACGAAAGAAGCTCAGTGTGATCGATGACGACAACCTGGCCATGGTCAATTAGTAGAATAAGGGAGGTTATCGATTAAGCTAATCGATTGCTATCACAGCACACTGACCGACGTCTTCATCCATCGAAAAGCACATGCTCAGGGTCGAAAAATATGCGACAAATTTGAATAATCGATCAATGCGTACGTACGAACCCGATCAGACTCATCAGGATGTCGCGATATGAGGGTCCAACGTAAATGTCAAAGGTTCATCGAATGACCAGCTTCTCTATTCACAGCCTCTTTCATCGATACGCATCATATCATAGAAGAAGGATATAGAGAAAGGCAGCTATTATCTTTATCTGGTATCACGGGTATTTTTTTTTTTTTTCGTCGATAAGAGAAATTATAATAATCCAATTACTTGCTCGTTTCTCCTGGCCAACGCAAACGAACTAAGCGGGATTTTAATAATTAGTGCGTAGGAGCGAACTTCAGCAAATAAATGTGAGAGAGGGCAGGAACGTCATGTAGCTGCTAAAAAATATAAAAGAGAGTGAGCTGATAGCGTTGTTCCCGCAACTTTTCCAAGCAATTTTCCATTGCAATAGCTAGATTGATCTCTATTCATCTTTCAACCACTGGACCTTTAAACAATCAAACAATACAATCATAAATTACATCATGGCCACATCCACCATCCCAGTTACAAAGCTTAACTCTGGTTATGAATTGCCAGTCATCGGCTATGGTACTTACGGAGGACCTAATGCTCCTCAAGAAGTTTATGAAGGATCCAAAGTTGCTCTTGAACTTGGTTATCGCCACTTTGATACCGCATACAACTACAATACAGAAGCTTCGCTGGCCAAAGCAATCAAAGAAAGTGGTGTTCCTCGTGAAAAGCTCTTTTTGACCACAAAACTTTGGAATACATTTCATGAACCTGACAGAGTCAAACCAGCCTGTTTGAAGTCTCTGGAGAAGCTAGATACTGAATACCTTGACATGTATCTCATGCACTGGCCTGTATCCTGGCCATTTAATGGTTATGAGTGTGAATATGACACCTTGAGACCTTGGAAGGATGGCAAGATTGAAAACCTTGGAATCTCTTTCATCGATACCTACAAGGCTATGGAACAACTTGTTAAAGACGGTCTGGTTCGCTCCATTGGTGTATCCAACTTCACTGTTCCAAAACTCAAGGCATTGCTGGAACAATGCGAGATTCCACCGGCTGTAAACCAAATTGAACTCCATCCATTTTTGCCTCAAGAAGAACTGCTATCCTTCTGCAAAGAACATAACATCCACGTCACTGCGTTCTCACCACTTTCCAATCCTGGTATTGTTAAGGGAAAGAACCGCAAAACGTCCTTGTTGGAAGAACCTCGTCTAATCGAAATTGCAAAGAAGTATGGCAAGTCTCCCGGTCAAACCGCATTGAACTGGGGTGTGCAGCGTGGATATTCTATTGTCCCCAAATCGGTGACTCCTGCTCGCATCAAGGCAAATATGGAAACATTCTCTATGGCACAGGAAGATATCGACTACATCACTCAAATTGGTCGTGATAACCCTATTCGCGTTTGCAATTCCATCTTCCTCTGGGGTCCTGAACATTCCGTCTTTGAAGACGAGTAAATTCGTAATGGCCCACACACGAAATTTATGCCATTCTTCCCTTCCTTGTATAATCTACTTGTTTCCGACATACCCTGCTCCATTACAATGGCAAAATTTCCGCTCTCCATTGCTTTTCATCACTCCATATCCATTATATGTCGCATAGCCTTACAATACTTTTCCCAAGTGATAGATTAGACGTAACCTTTTTTTCTTCTTCTTTTTTTCTGTATGCAGAAGACACCATTATTACTATTGTAATCGTGTAAATAAAATCAAGCAACAATATGACCAGAAAATCGTGCGGCTGAACAGTGTTGCGTAAATAGCATATTTAACATTGCCTTGCTATATAAAAAACTGTAAAAAATAAAGAAAAAATTGAATTGATAGTAAATAGTGTCCAGTGCCGTCGTATTGAGGAAAAAAGCACATCATCATCATAACAAGGCAACTTCTAGTTGTACAGAACGACATATTTTGGATACACACCGCAGTTAGTTACAAGGCACTCATAACTATCTCAAAATGAAAGATATATCTTCAATGGATATGTTTATCAGTTTGAAAGGCAACATCTTTAACGTTTCTGTTGCAGGACGAATATCACTTCTGCGTAAAATTTCGCGGTTCGCATCGCAGTCGAAACACCAAGTTTGGGACCAAGCCACTGAAACACATCTCAATTTCTGAATTGGGACTTTGAATTTTCCATTTGTGCACACGAGACAGTCCAAGCAATTTCAAGAGTGGCATGACGCCTAAGGGAAATCTAAAGAATGGCGGCATTGATCTCACATTTTATGAACATGAAGCTACCATACTGAGTTTCGATAACATTCGAGCCAAATTATTACAAGAATTGGGCAAACCCGATCTCAACATCACCTCTCGGGACATGTCACTGTTCACCGGCCGCTTGCAACAATTTCAAGAGGATGCCCTAGGTTTGAACGCGCACAAGAACAATAATGTACCGTTTCGCCTGCCTTCAAAGCTCTTCAAAGTTGACAGCAATGGAAAATTGAATACTTCGCATCCATTGTTCCAAATTCTGCTGGCCGCCTACTCGTTCATGCTCAATCAAGGCTGGGCTAATAACTATGACTTCATAACCGCGGCCAAGAGGACCTTGGTCATAGACATGATTGTTCATATCACGGAAGTTTTGATCGAAAAGAATGTCATTCGAAAACCTCGTATTGCTTTTGCCGCGAATGTGGATGATCAAAACCGCAAAGCCCTTGCTAAATTGGCCCGATCCACTGGTGGTAAGCTACCTACTCCTCCCTTATGCCATTTTCATCTCACCCCATTCTAATCATATTGTATCTTATAGCTAATATAGTTTCAGACGCATCAAAAGCAACCCATGTTTTACATGGTAGCATGGAGGACATTGACAACGGAGAAGAAGAATGGTTTCGCACTTTGGAAAAACGTGATGGCCGTGTGTTAATTCACTGGTGGTATTACCCTGATTCTTACGACACCTGGCTTCCAGAATCACAACAATTCATGGCCGATCCGGAAGAGCCACCTACCCATGAAGGGCCATGGAACATCACGGCACGATGGTTACAGGAAAGTGTCAAGTACAACGAATGGATGAATGAGGAGGACTATGAGGAAATCTCAGATGACTCTCCAGAACCTATGGAAGGTATACCAGAAATTAGGATGGCAAATCCAAGATCAAGACACCAAAGAATGGAAAGTGATGCTGGCATGTCGGAGTCCACCACAGCCATTGGAGAAGACCAGATGACTGAAGTAGAGGATGTTTTTCTGGATGAAGACAAGCAGCCTTTAGTCAAAGTATGCGATGTTGAAAGAGATCGTCCACAAACTGGTGTTAAGTCTCGAAAAAACGAATTCGAGCCTTATTCACATGGAGACCTGACTAACATCTCATGCTTTACTTACGATGGACTCGTGCGAGCAAAACGCAAGCGCGAAGAGAGCATGGATGTTGATGAGCCAAAACATATGAACCAACCCACTCAGGATGCATATCAAGGTATGGATAAAAAAATATTGAACATACCTTTCACACTGTGAGAGATGTGTTTATGTGGATGAACTACAAGTATACTAAATGGAGTGTAATTTCTTGATTGCAGAGGCAAAAACATATTTGAGTGCTCAACCTGTACCAAAACAAATCATCATTCCTACGGCAGCATCTTCATGGTTTGATGCTTCGAAAGTGCATGAGATTGAAAAGCTGTCGTTACCGCATTTCTTTGAACATGAAGGCGACAATTCATATGAACAAGAGTACATTCGCTATAGGGATTATATGATCAACACCTACCAAGCCGATCCAACCGAGTACTTGACTGTACTTGCATGTACAAAGGATTTAAATGGAGATTTGGAAGACCTCATGCGTATTCACTCATTTTTAGAGTTGTGGGGATTGATCAATTATCAGGTACGTGTCGATGCAATGGGGATGGCATTTATACGAGATGGTGTCTTTATTAAACGTCGTATTGTACTTGAAATAGGTTGACCCACGTACACGGCCGTTCGAAACTTGTTTGGAAAATGAGCATGATGCTGGTATCATGCCATTTCAGTACCCGGAAGACGATGAAAAAGACCACCCTACAAAGGCAGAAGAGCCCCCGTTGAAGAAGGTTTATCGTCAGATGCGCACGGAGATATTCGACCCAAAGCTTGCTGGCATGGTCAAGCCACGTATCACAACACTTGCCAGCGATGATGGTGGCGACCCAGATGATCCTGACTCTCGAGGAACAGCCATATGCGACTCTTGCAAGGCGGATTGCACGGATGTCCGATACCAAAGTTTGAAGATCAAGAACACGCAAGTGTGCCCAGACTGTTTCCTGGAAGGACGATTTTCATCGACCATGTCGAGTGGTGATTTTCTCCGTGTGGAAGGAAACATGGATCGTCCAGCACCGGAAGAGGAATGGACGCCGCGTGAGCAGCTTTTACTACTGGAAGGCATCGAAAAGTACAATGATGACTGGTTACTGGTATCTGAACATGTGGGTACGCGCAAGCAGGAGCAATGCATCATGCAGTTTTTGCAGGCACCGATTCAAGATAACATTGTCAAGTCACTGACCGAACTGACTGAAGAAGAGCAAACGAACAAGACGATTCCGTTTGAAAATGCCGAAAATCCTGTCATGACCTTGGTGGCATTCTTAGCCGGGGCCGTCAACCCAGCAGTAGGAGCGGTAGCGGCGCAATCCGCGTTAAAAGTGTTGTTAGAGTCTCCTACGGAAGAGCAGCAAAGAGACAGCGATGAGGAAGAAGGCTCAAGTCATTATTCTCGAGACATACTGGAAAAGGCTACTGCGACTGGCCTTGCCTCGGCGATCGAGCAGGCTCACGCATTGGCAAGACACGAAGATGCCGAGATTCAACGCATGATTCAAATTGTGTTGACGACCCAACTTAAGAAACTGGATCTCAAGCTACAGCAGTACGAAGAACTCGAACAATCCCTGGTCAATGAACAAAAGGAGTTGGAGAAACAAAGAGTCATGCTTGTCACTTCTATCAACGCTATGAAATCCCGAGTTCCTCCACCAGCGTCGTCTGCTACTCCCACTGCATCATCCACCCCCAACTAATATTAACCAGCTACCGCGGTCCATATTCTCTTCCCTCCGTGTATACCACCCAATTTGTCTTTCCGTTCAATCATTTTGCAAGTTTTTTTTAAAACATAGAAACAATGGATTTTCCCAATCCTTTATAATGAAAAGTTTGTAAAAAGGAAATGTGAAAAGTCCAGATATTTTTTGTTACTGTTTTGCTCAAACGCTTAAAGGTTGAGCTTGGTGCGTCTCCAATGGCGACGCTTGGCGTTCCAGCTATGGAGAGGGAAGGAGTTAGTCAAAAGTTTAAGGAAAGGTGGTAACATGGTCAATGAGGAACTTACTTAATGGTGTTGCCAGTTCTCATACGGATCCACTGGGGAATGGGACGGTTCTGCTTCTGGGCCTTGCCGAGAATGCGCTTGGTCTTAAAAGACTTGTTGGAAGGCTGATGAAAGGAGACAATGGCATAAGTATAATGATATTCTTTCAGCAAGTGAGGTTGACGTATAGCTTGAGCGACAGGTGCTGTGCGGTCTGAATTAGGTTCTCGTTCGCAATTTCAAGGCGAGTGCTGCTACGGCGATCACAGTGATGGACATTGGCGAATTTCCGGCATGGTTAATGTTGTCGTAAAAAAAAGATAAAAGGTGGATGGATCTATCCATCGGTTGATTCATCGATTCATCCGTACATCCATCAAGTCATGTCGTGTAGTGTTTCATCTATCGTATCAACTTCATTCAACTCACCATTGCTGTACGGAACAGTAGAAAGGAGGATTCACTAGTAGCTCAGCACACAATCTCTTGAGTACCGTCAAGCGGCATTTGAAATTGTAGGACCAAATTGAAGGGATAGAAGACTTTCGGCACGTGACCATTGGCTCCCCCCACCAAGCTGTCCAGAGGTCATAAATCTATCTTCTCTACAAAGAATGAAAAGAGGGTTCATACAGCTTGGAAACGGGCACGTCACTAAAGAGTCTCGACTTCTGCTATGATTCAAAATACTTTTGATATATCAAGAGGTTCAAGTAAGGCGCTTAAAGCATTCGAACAGCATCCGGCTTACAAAACTAAACGAGAGAGGGGGGTTCCTATTTTTTTATTTTATTTTATTCTCTCTAGGTACAACTTGGTTTTTTTTTCTTGTTTAACGAACTATATATATTCTCTTTGTAATCAGTCTATTTTTGAAGCGAATGGAAGAGGTTTAGATATTGGCGAAGTAGTAGGCGGGGGTACCGGGCATGGCTTGCTCAGCAGCCTTCTTATCGTCTTCTGTGAAGTTTTCAGTTGTCACAACTGTGATATCTTGGAAGTTCAGTGCCTTCTTGTAGTAATCCAGACTGTGTTGGAGAGTTTTGTATTCATCAAAGAGGAGGGTTCGGTTGAAGGATGCAGCACCAAACTTCTCGACCAGTTTCTAAAAAATAACAGAAAACACATAGGTTATTAGTATACAGTGCGAATGATAACCCATACATATTCTTCCTATTTACCTTTTGCTCGTTGAGGAAGGGCATCATCTTCTTATTGGCCATGAGACCTTGAGACTTCAGTTGCTCGCGAATCTTAACATCGTCAAACTTGCCAGTGGCTTGATCAAAGTTGTCCTTCAACACTTGAATACCTCCATCTTGCCATTCAGGGAAAGAAGTTGCAACATAAAGCTTGAGAATCTTGGGGGCATCAGGGTTGTATGCGTTCTCAGTTTGCTTCTTCTTTCTCTTGAGTTGTGCAAGTTCAGTATCACGGATGGACTTGACGGTCTTGCGAATGTACTCTGCTGCAGCAAGGACGGCGAGGTCAATTTCAGCAGTGGGTTCAGGGAAGCTAACATTCATGACGGTATCGGGCTTGGCGAGGAGGTTGGACCAAACATGTTCAGCCCAGAAAGGACAGATGGGTGTAAGAAGAAGGGTTTGAACTTCCATAAATCGGTTGACGAGGTCACGGTGCATGCCATTGGCACAGACTTGTTGATACCAATCTCTGGACGATTGGAGTTCGTAGAAACCATACTTGAGAGCATCTCTGTAGTAGGTACCATCATAGGCTTCCTTGGCACGAACAATCAGGTTGTTCATCTCGGTTTCGAAAACCTTATCATGGAATCCGAGTTCACCAGTTCGAAGCTCACTGCTAGCCTTGATTTGATCCTCGAACCATTCGAGAAGAGTGAACAGACGAAGAATGGCAGCATTGGCGGTGGCATCCTCAAAGTTGGCATCTTCAACACTATCACCAGCATCAGCAAGAGCAAGACGAGTGGCATCCGCACCATACTTCTCAATAGCATCATCAAGAGTGAGGAAGTTACCAGTGGACTTTGACATCTTTTCTCTGTTCAACATAAGATGGCCGTTGACACGGACGCCACGAGGCCACATTTCTTCTGGGAACATGGCAACGTGGTTGTAGATGAAGAAGGTAAGATGGTTGGGAACAAGATCTTTTCCTGAAACTCGAACATCGAGGGGATAGAAGTATTCGTATTCACGCTTGAGCTTGTCAAGCGTAGCTTGTGGAATGGGAATGTTGGATGAATATTCACCAAGTTTGAAGACGTAGCTCCAGGCTTCATCTGTCATTTGCTCAGGCTTGATGCCAGCTGGGCCAGGAGTGCTTCCATTCAGAGATCCGTCATGAAGCATGTGTGCAACAGTGTAGTAAGCCATATAGATGGTGGAATCAGAAAGCGATTCAACAAGGAATTGAGGATCCCATGGAAGCTTGGAACCAAGACCAAAGCTTCTAGCGCACGCCCACTTGTTAAGCCAACCAAGAGTCTGTTCGAACGCATGTCTGGTCTCATTGGTGAAAGTATTCATTTCAGCCAGACACTTCTCAGCTTGAGCCTTCCAGTGATCTTCACCATAATCGAGGTACCATTGGTCAAGAAGAGCAACAACGCACTCATCACCGGAGCGGGACATGACAAGGCCTTCAGGCTCGTTGTAGACAAAACCTTCTCCAGATTGAATGAGGACATCTCTGATCTTGGGCTTAGCTTCTTGGACAGACAAGCCCTTGTATTCGCCAATAACGATGGTTCCTTGATAGAAACCTTCCTTGTAAGCAAGCTCCTTAGCTTCAGCAAGAGGAACACGGTCCTTTTGAGAGTTGATCTTCTTGAGTTTGCATAGGAATGGAGCGGTAAGGTTACCATAAGAGGGGGTGTTGATGATAGGAATAGGCTCGAAAGCAGCCCATTCAGGTTGAATCTTGTAATAAGCAGCCTTCTTCTGAAGGTCTTGAAGAGTAGCAAAATCATCAGGAGAATCGGATGGCACGGAGGTGACCACACCGGTACCCTTGGTGGCCAGAACGTTCTCCATGGGAAGAACATAGACTTCTGGGTAAGTACTGAGAGGAGCCTTGACCTTGGTTCCAATGACAAGATCACCCTTAATTTCAGCAAGTTTCTTGATCTCACCAAAGTTGCTAAAGATCTTTTGGTAGGCCATGTTGCGAGCAGCACGCTCAGTGATGAAGAAAACATCCTTGTCGTTGACTTGGTAAAGACCATACTTAATCTCGGTACCAACAAAGCAGTTGGTTTGTCCATACATGGTTTCAGGACGGAGAGTAGCAGCAACGAGATAGACGTTCTTTCCTGCAAGCTCAGAGACTGATGCAAGAACTTGTTGAGCGGACTCGGCCCATTCAGTGACTTGAAGCTTGATAGCAGTGTATTCTTGAGGACCAAGAGCTTCACCAGATTGACGATCGTGATCCATACAGGGTTGTTTATCGACAGGAGAATAGATAGTGTATCGCTCACCGAAACGAATCTTGTCCAACTGCTTAAGGACATTCATCTGCCAGCGAACAAATGAGTCGTAATAAGGGTTGGCATCCGTGGTGATGAAGGAACGTCTCCAATCAACCTTGGCACCGAAAGCAGTCATATCCTTGATAGCAAGGGGAGGGAAGAATTCGCACCAGTAGAGGGGATCAGCGAATTTGTGAATCTCTTCATTTTTAACACCGAGTTGTTGCATGATCTGGAACTGGTAAGTGGAAGTTCCAGCCTTGGCAGCAGCCTTGCTCTTTTTTCCCTTGCTGGGATCAGTCGATTTTTCTTGGGTAACGCTTGCGTTCTTGAGTTTTTCAGCAATTTGCTCCTCTTCGATTGCCTTTTCGTAACCCTCAAAGTTCTTTCCAAACATTTCGATTTCGCGAGCAAGCTTATCTGCGCAAGCCTAGCAACGTGGCGAATAAGGGGGTCAGCCTTTGACAACAACAAAAATCCGTACCTTTTGACAGATCTAAGGAATCCCAAAACGTAGCATCATCACCTACCTTAATTGGCATACCAGTGCAGTGGAAACCTTGGGGGAAAAGGACTCGCTTACCAAGCATACGCTCATAAGCAGCAGCAAATTCAATCTTGGAAAGAGTGAATGCGTGTCCAAGATGGAGACGGCCATTCATGTAGGGGTAGGCCATGCAGCCCATGAATTTAGGGTATTTTTGATGAAGATCTACGACGTTTTGGTGTTCTTCAATGGTGGGAGCATCGGTTTCGAAAGCTTTAATAGCATCCCACTTTGCTTGTGCTGGAGATTCCAGCGCACGAAGAGCATCGCGCTTTCCGGTCTAAATCACGGTGGATGAACAGAAGAAAAAAAAACTCAGACTCGGCATTGGAATCATGGATTCTATGAAGACAATGACGCACCTTTGGAGCTTCTCCTGCGGGAGTTGCTGTTGACATGATGAAATGGTAAATGTCAAAAATATCGATCTGCTTGTTTTCTTGCTGTCCCAAAAAAAAAAAAAAGACTGCGGAGTGTGAATCATACTGACAATGAAAGCTTGTCCAATGAAACTGGGGTTGACTCACTGCTTGGCTATCAAGCACTTAGCATGGCGATGTTGGCCACTATTTCATAAAGTCGTCGATACCTTTCAATTTTACATATGCTATATTTCATTTATCGCTTGTCGGTTGGTAAAATGGATACATATTCTGAAACCTCAAAGCTGGACTACCAAGCAAGGCAGACAGTAAATTGATCATAAGCATTACCTTTATTTCAGGTTCACGAAGAAGTGATTAGGATTGCTGAAAAGCGCTTGTACATACATCATTTATGGTAGAAACGTCCTTACTGGAAAATCAGCTGAGTATAAAGCCTAATATTGTGTTCTGCCAGTCTAACGACCCATACTCACATATTTTCCCTTGCAGCGTAAATTTCAAATATTGCCGCGTTACCTGCCATGCCTTTTTATTATTATTATCTTTTCAATGCAATCTCTGCATATAGCGCAGAGTCTGTACGCACATAAACATCGCTTGGGTGACCGCGACTTACCTTACATAGCCAAAAGTGGTCTTACGATACAAAGAAAGTCTAGGTCCCCCATCCTTTCCCTGGCTCCCGGCTGGAAATGTTAATAGGCATGAATGAGCCCCTAGTGCAGATAGGCTTCACCAATAACCGGCGAATTCGCTCATGTCCATGCAGCAAATGGGGCCTTGGCATGACGAATATGCCTCCACGTGGCGTGAACAGGACCACCTTGCAGGACGCAAAGTCATCGGGCTGACAATGGCGGGTGTATCTTTCCTTCTATTCATAGGTGGAAGGTAACATGTGACCGTCTATCCATCGTACCACAGCAGCACTATGGGAAATACGGCTTGGGTTTATGCTCGTGAAAGTAAAAAACACACGAGGTCGAGGTGGAGACCGCATGATGAGTTATATCTATGGACAGACTGAAATTGAAAATTCGCAAAAGTAACATATCTGAAATGCAATAACTTTGACCATGGGCCGGCACAAAATGGAGTATACGTGCAAGATCATGTCTGTAGGATGGTCTGTGTGTAGAGGGGCGGCGGGTGTACAATATGGCGAAGAGGCACTGTTGGGTTGAAGCTATATTTGATGCGCTAGTGATGATGAAAGCGCGTAGACTAGGACATTTTCTACATAATTTTTTTTTCAACCCTGTAGGCAAAAAAGTTTTTGAAATTTTATTAAGACAACCCCTCTCTACATAATTTGTAATGTGCACGGCCCACCTCCTCAGTAAGCCTCAATATTTTTTTATCTAACTTGCCGACATGACGAGAATCACGGCCATCTGATGGCCTAAGCTCGAATGAAGATGGACTAGCATGGAAAGACAAAGAACAAAAACGCATCCAAAAGGGTTGATATGATCAGTACATCTTGAGTTGTATTTTATGTGCAAAAACTGTGCAGAGATGATATTATATAGTATAAAAAAAAAAGAAATAGTATTTTGGGCGTGGGGTGTGGGCATGTTTGTGATATTTTTTCACTTTTCCTTTTGCCTTGAGGTTTCCCCAAGCTAGGCACACAGAAGTGGATTTGATTGGAGTGCATTTCTACTAAAATGGGGGGGGGGGAGTGCGATTATAGAAGGAATACATGAGGGAGGAGGAGTAGAGGAGGGTATCGGGTTTGTTTTTCAAAAAGTGATCGTCAGCCAGACTAAACTCGACTGCCGCATTTTGGGCACCATGTTTGAGCAAAGTAAATCTTGTGCTTGAAGCAATAGTTTTTCTCCTGAGTGTGATTGACAGGGCTATGCTGCTTACTTCTATCGGCTCTTCTTGATTCTTGGCAGCAACTCATGATGATATTTTAGTTTAGAGGAGCAAAGAAGATAGAGATATGAGAAAGAAGGAAGAGAGAAGGGAACCCAAAAAAAAAAAGAAAAAGCCAAAAAAAAAAAAATCTCAGGAAAGGTTGGACGAAGGACACAGGTCATGGGGACGATGAGACTCCGCGCATTAGAGTAATCCATTACAGCTTTTCTCTCTCGCAGTTTATTGTTATAAGGTTGTTTGTTGTGTTGTGTGTATGTATGTGGATGGGAGGAATTCTCATGCCTACCACGTCATCAGATGTCCTCACCATCAATGCATTGAGAGGCAGGCTATAGCGAATGTTCATTGCTGTACAATCAAGATAATTTCCTTATTCCCGTTATCGCAGGGCCATCATGGGCTGGGCTGGATCAATGTAGAAAAAAGAACCCCCCCCATGGATATATTTACTTACTCGCCATTTTGGACCTGATTGAGTTTTGTGCGACACTCAAATAGATTTTCCCGCCCATTTCGTTCACAGTGTGTGTATCTACTCCTGGCTGATGGGAATCTGGGCGAGAAGAGAGTATGTTTTGGAGTAGTTCATCTATCGTATGATATAAGGTGAAAAGGGTGTTATCAATCCGGGAAATAGTGATCTTCGTTACACCATTATGTACATGAGGAAAGAGAAGAAAAAGGATTGGAAAGCTTAACGGTCTTGAACACAGACGACCCCCATGATACGCACGGTTTGCTATGGAAATTAAAAAAACATGAACGTAACGAACATTATCAAGCTTTGAGGAGAGGAGCTCGCTCGTCATTTGGTTAATGGCAAGAATGGACGAACTGGATCACCAGTTTTTTTCTATTGTACTGTTAACCTACCCAGAATCACATCATATTTTTTGTTTTTATAATATAGACGTTATTTCCATGATACATTAACTTGGCTTAGCCCGGGCCTAGAGCTTATTCAGTACAGTCCAACTTTTCACTCTATGGGCCATTGGACTGAATTCCCCCATGGCATGACCATTCCATTCTGAACCACTAGCTTCGCTACCAGGAGGCCGTTCTCTTTTCCAAATGGTTGAACACCACGTGTGATTGTCGATATGGTGGCCCAAAACGTTGTTTTTGTAGCGTTTTCGGTGTGTTCCTATTCCGGCCACGTCGGTGGTTGATCCAAGGGTACATTTGTATCCAATATTCTCCAAAATGTTTGCACTACCAAAAACAAGCTGGTCATCTGTTTCAGTGGGACACATGGAAACTCTCAACATGGCATGTTGGATAAGTAAGAGAAAGTGGAGACGGGATCTTCCGTTACGTTAAAATCGGATTAGGTCCCCTCTTTATCGTTACCCCCGCTATAGATTTTCCTACTCTTTATGCGATGGCATCATTTATATTATATGGTTCTCGATCACATCATGGGAGCGATGACGATGGGTAAAAATTCCATAGCGCAAAATTAGCTTTGAGCCAGTCCTTGTTGCGGAACTCTGATGTAATGCCACTGCAATGAAAACAGAAAAACTTGCTACTCTACAGATATGGGTCGGAGAACCTCCCCCAAACGCATTGACCAAAGCAGTATTTCTATCCAGCCGAAAGAACAGATCCCGTATTCTACCATGGGTCACGGCTGCGCCACGCATCAGCTAAGCTTCGGTACAACACCGAGCAGAGAGAGGGCTGTGGAATATAATCCATTGCTCCCAACTTCTTCATATCTGCCTCAAGTTTATTTGTAAGTATAGTATTAATCTCCCCAGTTTACAGTAATTGATCTTAACAGCTGTGCAACAATCATAAATACAGCTATGATGCGATGGGATGGACGGCTCAAAATGTACTGATTCGAGATATCTTTCTGCATGCTTGATCTTTGGAGATGCCATTAACAGACCGCTTTTATAATACTTTCAAATCACTTGGAATACACAGAGAAGGTTTGCTTAGCGTCTTATTAATCTTATTATTATACGCTCTTAGTAAATTATTCATGATTTCTTTACTTATGATCCATTATAAGGAGTATGAGGATCTTAGTAACTGCTGTGCTCCAATGGCAAAGCTATTGAACTCCTTATCAATCTTTAATCAAGAACATAACAGTCAACTGATGGTATTGTTTGTCACACCATCGGTGCAATTTGTTAGACAGCCGAATATTTCAACTCAGTGTATCTCTCTCTCTCCTTCACAATAGTCCAGGTGCATTGAAAGAAATAGGAGTAAACCTCATCTAGCGGAAAAATGTAAGCGTACGAATGCTATTGCATATGTCCACCTCAGCAATGATATCAAGAAACAAAGCGATGAGGTATTTCCATTCAGTTGGCGTCGGGGACATCAATGATATAAAGCAACTGATATTCATCAGTGCCAAGGTAGGTTGGAAATACGAACAGAAAGATGACTACATCTTATATACCTAATAGAATAGTTCGGCGACGTAGTTGTTCGATCATGAGACTGAAGCTGAAATGAAGGATAGGAGCTCCGAAACTGCCCTTCATTTGCCGGCATCACACAGAATCAAAATGATATGACAGCTGCTGCTTTGAACTGTGGGCTTATCTGTTCATACAGATAATGGAAATCTAGATACTACAATTTACAAGACTGCATAATATGTACAAAACGAAATAGTGCCACTACTGCTGGGATATGCTGCTTGCGTTCTACGTGGGATGTCACAGGAAAGACGGCTTGGAGCAATCCAAATTGGCCACTGAGCAAGGCTAAAGTCTCTTTACACTAAACCTTCACCTATATCATCGACCAAGGATTAACCTAATAATAGTAGCAAGAGTGGGTATTTGGAAAACGACATGCGAAGAGGACATGGCTTAAACGCTGACAGGTATCTTCGATACAATAAATACTAGCATACAACGAAGAATTCAAATCGTATGAAGGCTATTTCTGAGCTAAATGTCCAGAAAGGCGATCTTTCATTCTTGACCTTCCACGACTACTCCAGTTGTGTTCCGCATCAATTGTCAACTATCGGTCAACCCAGCGTTGTAATTGTAGGGTGTACAATTGATTCAACATGTATTGCCGTTAGCCACAAGATAAACTCACTATCGTGAACGACATCAAATCCTACATTCTAGTAAAATATAGGCACACAGATTGGCAAACAGGCGTAGATCATCCAATCTAACTTTACTATCGATTTCAGTGTCATCAATTGAAGAAAATAAGTTTGAAGGTATTTGATGGATGTGATGCGAATCAAAGAGATCTAGCTAGGCGATAAGTGGGATTGCACGGAATCGAACAAAGCCAAAGGCCGGATGTTGCGGTACAGTGGAAAGAGATCCTATCTACGCATTAACTTTTCTAGCTTGCAATCATAGACCATTCAGTATAAAATCTTTGCTACCCCTAGAAAAAGTAGAAACAAGGCAATAGAAAGTAAAAAAAATTCCCACCTCTTTCAGTGGGACTTTTTTTTTTGATTGCATGATTCACCGGGTTTTGGCAAATTGAAGCACTTATCGATGATAATATTGCTGCTGACTTCCATGCGATTTGAGACCCACAACTTTCCATTGGGAATAGTCACTTTTATGCAAAGCAAAGCGAGAGGAAAATGGGCAAAGGTGCACACGGCGCTATGGCGGCAAATCGCCTCAACTTTTTAAAAACTGGCTAGTCAGCAAAAGCACTATTTTATCTCTCTTTCCCGCCTTTCCACCCTTAGGTTTTTGTCCACATAATATGGACCTTTTACCTAAGGAAATTATTCAATATATTTTTAGCTATGCAGATCCGAAGTCCATTTGTTTCGTAGGATCCACATGTCGCCGATTGCACGAATTGTCGCTATATGATACCATATGGGCTCAGCATTGCCACCATTTTGGCGTTTATGAATATAATGCTGAATCCGACACTGGCGCTCCATATTCATATCGGGATATCTACATTCGATTGCTACATAAATACGGCTGGATGTTGGGGATATGGCAAGGTGAATTGAAAGGAATTTATTGAGAGAGACAGAGCCCAATGTAATAAAAAGACCGGTAATCGGAGCTTGCTAACGCGCCAAGGCAAAATTTATTAAATATAGGCGATCAAACCTATCATGGATCGTTGCTTGTTGTTCAGTGGCATGCCAGCCTGAATCTGATATGTGGTTCTTTGTTGGAACCTACTGCACCTATGTATCGTCTGCGTCCATGGCTAGGCGATAACAGCGTCATGATCCTAGAACAGCAGCACCATAAGGCGTTTGCCAAACTGGGTTTTTCAATGTCACGCAACCAGCCTCATCCTATAGTCGATTTTATCAGCGGTAATTCACAACCCATGGAGCTACAACTCAAAGCTTGTCAAAAGCAACCTCATCCAGACTGTCATCTGCTTTGGGATCTCCACACTGAGCCAATGAATTTACTGGACAGATTACCTTTCGACCACAGTGCTTTTAGTTTACGTATACAACAGTCGTCCCGCAACCCCCAACTCAAATTCAACTTTTGCAAACTTCCCACTGAGACTTTATTCCCTTCCGATCGAACTGAATTTCCTGTTGGGCTATTTGCCTCCTTCTATGGAGGACATGGTTTAGAATACATCCTACTGCAGCACCACGCTGATCGTCAAGAACTGCGTGCTATCAAAGTAACAGGTGACCCCAATATACCAAGAAGTGAACTGACCTGGATAGCGTTTGTAAATGAGCAGATCCGGGAATGTAGTGACCAAGATTTCATTGGATCGCCAGTGTTTATTGCCTTAGGCCACATTGCCTTTCATGGATTCCAAAATGCGAGTTTAATTGAATGTGAATGTGAGCACAAATTTTATGCTTGATAGCCTCTTAATGCAAGCCTAAAAATGAAACTAACTTGATATGCTGAACACCAAACCAATCTAAAGTGATTATTGTCAGCCAAGAAACGTTGGCCATTCACTGGCCCGAACTACGACAGATAACAGTGTATCATCGAAGCAAAGCAGCTGACTTTGAGCCCCTCCTTTCAAGCTATGCCGAATCTTCGGCTTATACAGCTTCTGCTCGCAGATAGAATAACCCAGATCGGTTTGTCCGACCTGTTGAACATTCCTTCAACATGGAACAGGGAGATACCTTCATCTGCACAAACTTCATAACGCAATATGTTCGTAGCCATTTTTTGATGATTTCTTATTTTATTTTATTTGTAAAATTGTGAGAGCAGGCCTCGACAGCTTCATAAAAACGCTACTTACCCGACAAAATAATAATCAATTGTGAAAAGAAAGAGAAAACAAAAAAAAGAACACAGTGTATGCGAAATCAATCATCAACAAGAACCTATCAACGAAATTTTATCCTGATCCTCTTTCACTTTAATGTCAATCAGTTAAAAAAAATAGCGAGTAGAACGAAAATTTGCATGGGCATGGACAACCCTTTTGTTTCGTTTTTGTTTAATAAGGTCGGTCTCTTCGTTCTCTACGTTCGTTACCACGGTAGTCGTTATCACGTCCACCGCCAGAGTGGCGACCATAATCGTCTCTATCGCGTCGATCGGAACCTCCCCGGCTTCGGCCCTCATAGTTGCTGCCACGGTCACCGCCACCACGAGAGTATCCATTTCCGCCTCGAGAGTACTTGTCATCACCGCCACCGTAGTCTCGTCGACCTCGGTAACCACCTCTATCGCCACCAGAGGATTGCATTGTGGAAGCTGGTCGAGGAGCCTTGCATTTGAAGCATTCTGTTCGATTTCTTGCAAAATTATTGATTCCACAGCTGAAGAACCGAGGTTAGATCAAGCCATTTGAATAAATCTAAGATTGCATCTAATTAAATGTACCTTTCGCAAGACCAGTCGCCATCGCGAGGAGGAGGGGGGCCACGTCCACCTGAAAAATCTCCTCGACCACCACCGCCGCCGCCGCCATAACCTCCACGACCTCCTCCTCGACCACCGCCACCGCCGCCGCGGCCACCGCCGCCAGTCCAAGCCTTTCGGACTGCTTTATCGACCTTTATAATGTTGCCCATAAAGTCTTTGTTTCCAAACCAGTCTATAGCAGCATCAGCAGTTGGCGGATCATCATATGTGATAGTGGCTGCAAAACATAAACAATGTCAAAAACAGCGTCAGAAAATTTTCCATGTCAGTATACAGAGATAACATACCATCGCCTTTTGGTTTGCCTGTAGCCTTGTCGGTATAAATCCAAACTATATAAATGAAAGAGAATGAAGGGATTGTTAAATCTGCAATGTTGCTTGAACGAAATTGTATAGTGACGGCCGTCCTTACTTTTTGGTTTATCATTCTTTCTATCGTGTTTGATGATACCGATGGAGCCAAATACTTCGGCTAACTTTTCTTCAGTCACAGTATCAGGTAGGTTTGTAATGTAGATAGTATCGTGAGCTTTCTCCATTCCTGGTTCTAAGCCTAAACGCAAGACGTGTTAATGCTCAAATTCACGAGTGATCAAGAGTTTTACCGGTCTTTACCTTCATCCTGTCGTGGCGGTTGATCTTGATAGTTATCTCTTCGAGAATAAGAGCCACGAGAGTCTCCATAGCGATCATTGTCACGGCCGCTATCTCTCTCCCTATAACCTGCACTGTGATCTCCACCATATCGTTGACCTTTACCTCCATCGTTAGAGGCGTCATAAGAGCCATAGTTAGATCCATATGATTGCTGATTGTAGGAAGATGAATCATATGCTCCTGCTTGTGGCTGCTGACCATAGGCAGAGGGATCTGTGTATTGTGCTGCTGAATAGTCATAACCATAGGCGCTTTGTTGATCGTCTAGCAGATCAGAAAAAAGGTGAGATCGTCTAACGGCAAAAAGGTAAAATCCCCATTTTAAAAATTCTCTGTCTCGAGTATCAAAGTACATTGCTGGTAAGCTCCATAGTCAGCTTGTTGCTGTTCAGAATGAGGGCGACCGCTAGGGTCTTGCTTGTCCGACATGCTTGTAGCTGCGTGAAATATTGGGAAGGCGGATTTTCTGTCTGCGAATTTTTGCACATTTGAGGCGATTCAGTTGGGCTGGTGTGAGGGGCGGGTACGACGTCACAAATAAAATTCGTGACGTCAGCGTAGGTCTAATAGTTTGAAGCTGGCCTGTTTTGCTTTTCTGATAGATCTGCCCAACATGCTTGCATCCGTCGCCTCCAAGCGTACGTATTGAATTTCGACCCGTTAACGATAACTTGCCGCTCAACGAAATTATTTAAATTATAGAGATGCGCCATAAGGCGTGCGCAAACGCCATCAAGGCATCTGCTTCTTCCTTGGAGCAAAAGGTAACAACATCTCCAACCCATCCCAAAGCAGCAGTGCACACCCATACTCAAACACTCTTATTTTTCAGAGAAACCTCCACGATCTTATGCTTAGAAAGAAGACTGGACAGCCCTTCACTAGACAAGGTGCTGGTGGTCGGTATGTAACCCATACTGTATTGACGTTCACCAACAGTCAGTACAATGTTCTGACATGTATTCTCTAGTTCCACCTCCAATGGCCACGTTGCAACAGTTTTCGGATGCACTGGTTTCCTTGGACGATATGTTGTTAACCGACTTGGTATGAATATCAGCATCAAATCTAATACGAAAATATGTTCTTCATACTTATTTTTCGATTATAGCCCAACAAGGTACCCAGGTCGTTATTGCCCACCGTGATCCTGATGAGGCCAGACCTCTCAAGGTTACTGGCGATCTTGGCCAAATTGTTCCTCTCGAAGTTGACCTTAAGGACCGCGAAACTATCAATGAAGTTGTTCGACACTCTGATATTGTTTACAACTTGATTGGTCGCGACTATGAAACCAAGTATGTTTGCTAATTCGCTTATGCTAGATTGAAGAATATGTGGCGATCGTGAAACTAACGTGTTTGGTATAGGAACTACACATTCGATCAAGTTCACGTTGATGGTGCTCGTGCCATTGCCGAAGCTTGCGCGGAAAACGACGTTGCTAGACTTGTCCATGTTTCAGCCTTGAATGCCAACGAAGATTCCACTTCTGGCTTCCTTCGCAGCAAGGCCCGTGGTGAGAAGGCAGTTCGTGAGGTTATTCCCGGAGCTACCATTGTTCGTCCTGGCACCATGTATGGCCAAGAAGATCGTTTCTTGAACAGAATCGGAAGTGAGTGCTCATGATTCATTGTCTTTCTCGCATTTGTTTGGCAATACTGATCATACTTTGAACTTTGCAGCTGGTGAAGGTTGGCAATTCTGGGTCAATGAGTCCAAGGCCAAGATTCGCCCCGTCTATGCCATTGATGTTGCTCAAGCCATGGAAATCTTTTTGACTGCTGAAAGCACTATTGGTAAGACTTATGAGTTCTACGGACCCAAGGAATACACCTATGAGCAAATTTTCGAGTTGGCTCGCGAAATTAGCAAGAAGCCCTTGCCTACCTATAATGTACCAACCAGCATTGCCAAGTAAGGCCTCTTTTGTATCTATATCACCACATGAACACGAATTAGTCAACAGGATACTCATCCGTCTTTTCCACTTCAGGTTGGCCGCTAAGCTCGTCGACAGACTTCCTTACAACCAGATGATCTGCCCTGATCTTATCGAGAGAGTATGTATCGTTGTTTAGAATATTTCACTATCTGCAACGGCTTTACTCACTATACTTTACAGATGACTTTGGATGACAAGCCCACACCTGGTGCATTGACTTTCGCCGATCTTTACATTGAACCCACAGACTTGGATGCTGTTGCCATTCAGTTCTTGAGACGATTCAGAAGTACCGCCATCTTTGATTTGCCTTTCGAGAAGGGTGATGGTCAGGTCAAGAAGGGAGTCTATCACGTCATAGACTAAAAGTCATACATATTAAACCCACAACCCCCCAAAGTAGACATAACCCGATTGCTCAAGAGGAAAGAATGGAAATTGGTCTTTTGTAGAATTATTGTTCTTATCCTTTTTGTGTTTCAATAATCAAACATTAAAAAGAAGAAAAAAAATGAAATCTCGTTAATTTTATCATATCGTGTGTATGCACGATTATGGCTATGCTACGATACACTTTACCCTATGTGATGTTGCAAAGGAAGAAAGCTGACTAGACATAAGCCTCTTACATGAACATTGGAGCAACCACCATGGCTAAAATGGATACTGAAGCAGCCAGAAAACTTGAAGGCAAAAGGAATGCTGAAGAAGATCGTGCTGCTTCTGAATGTATTTTTCTGACTACACCATCGTTAAGACTATCCCAAGGCATAGTTAGGCGAGTGACGTTGTACAATTGCGTTTGTTGATTGCCGACAAATCGACTCAGGGCCAAGTATTCGGATGAATTGTAAACAATATAAGCCTTTTGCAAGAGCTCAACCAAATGAGAAGAAGCAGCAAATCCTTCTGTATTTTTGAATCGCCATTCCGAGTTATTGACGGCACCTGGGAGTAAGAAATCCAAAGCTGCTTTGATGGATTTGCCATCGACTGTTCTATAGTTCCACAAGTCAACTCGCACATGTTCTGCCAATTCCGCGAGTTGAAACATTCCACGCAGGTTATAAACACTGTAAAACCAGGAGAATGGACGATCCGTTTCGAAGTATTGTTCGCCAGTAGCAAGAATTTGTTCTGCAATGCGATTTGCCGTTGCGTTTTGTGCCACTTGCGTCGCAAATTTATCTTGGCCCAAAAAGTAGCTAATGGCCAGGAGCTGAACGTCATAATATGTTCCTGTTGGTTTTTGAAAAGATGAATAAACAGCCTATGACTTCCTCGCCAATGCAAGTTCATTCTACAAAGAAGAACATTCAACCTACCGTGGTTATTGTGAGCGGTTTTTTCGAAGTTTCCATTTGGGCTGTTTCGTAGCCACTCCAAGTAGGACGTAAACCAAACACGCAAGCCAGCACTCGTACGTGGTGCCCATGCCTTGCTGTGTTGGAGAATTGCAATACTATCAAGCAAGTCAGTAATAACACTGAAATCAATGATGCCCTTTGCACGTCCCATATCGTATCCACGAATAATGGATGCATATTGCAAATGTGGGTTCATACGGGTCTCCTTATCAAGAAACCAGCTTTTGACGTGGCTGACAGCTTTCTCGGCGTATGTCTCGTTGTCGAAATAGTAGTAGGCTAGCGATAAGAACTGTACTTGTTTGATCATTTCACGAAGCATTACATAATCTGGCACTGAACGGATTTCAGGATTGACGTGGCCATCTACACGAACGTAAGGAAGTCCACCGGGCACTGATTCATCTGGCCAAAAGTATCTGGCCAAAGACATGTAATCGTGGCTATCATTACTGGGAGCAGCCATCTTCTTGTTGACGACAGAGAAAACCGTAGTGTTGGTGACATATCGGCGTGCTTTGATTTGAAGATACCACAGAGCATTTTGTAGTGCTTGATCCGGTTCGTTCATATGCTGTTTATTGCTTTCCAAATCCCTCTCATTGATGCGCACGAAAGGAAAAGTACCATCCTGTATGTCATCAGTGGCATCTTTAGCTTCGGGAATAGGATATGGCCATCCACCGATCATGTCAGCAATTGAGGTTGTCCTCGCTGCTGGAAGTGAGCTGTTAGTCTTAGTAGGAGGTTTCGGAGAGGTATTAGCTGGTGGTGGATCATGGACCTCGTCGTTGTCGTCGGGGGTCTCAGGAGCATTGTTAACAGGTTGTGGAGCTGGCTGTTCAGGTGTAGAGCCTGTGTCCTCGTCATCGTTGTCGTCGTCCACAGGAGAAAGGTTGCCTTGTTCTGGAGCAGGAGCAACATCGTCGTTGGAAGATAGGTCGGTGTTAGCACCATCTTGCGCAAATGCTACCTGTAGTAGGCAGAAAAAGACGATGACTGCTAGAAGAAGACGGCTTGTTTTGGTGAATGCGAGCATCTTATATTATGAAGCAAGTTTCTTGGGAGTATCCAAGGTTTCCTGCACAGGATATAGAAAGTCGTATGCTAGGTGTAGCTCTGACGAGCACAATGTCGATGGGAAGTGGGAAAGAGCGAGTAATCCGGGAATGAAGTGTCCTCGCTTTCGTACTTGATCGGTGCTGTCGGATATTAATAAAACCCGTTGCCAATGTGCAAGTCAAAATCAAACGTTTCTGTCACTAAACAGTAGTAAGCGCTTGAATTTACCGACACCGCCGGCCTGAATTATAATCGGATGGCAATTTTCGTTGATTGATATCTATTCAAATTACTAACGCTTGGTTTTGGTTGTGGCCATGTTTCCTCGAGCAGATCAACCAAAGATCACTTACAACAGTAAAATCACGGATCCTATTGTTAGTTAAGTGGGGATAGTTCAAGAAGCATTAAAATTCATGCTTTGGTCATTTCAAGATATTTGAACGGAAATTGATGGATTTTTTTTTATTTGTTTTTGCTAATTCACGACCAAGGGCTCTTACAGCTGTCCATACACTGGGTCCTATTTTATATCTACTTTGCTCTACACGCTCTTCATCAGATTGTGAACGCCAGCATACATGTCTGGATTTTCTTTACCTCCAGTTAAAACAAACCGGATGACGCGGTATGCAAAGCCAACACATACAACGGCTCCTCCGATAATACCACTGAGGCGAACCAGGAAATGCGAGAAGGATTGTCTCTTTTCGGTGATGCGAACAGATATAGGCTCAAAATCATATTTGAAAAATATTCCCGGAACATTGTAGAGAGCTTCCATTTCCGTGAATGATTTGCTAGAGTCTGTAACAGCGTACTGATATGTTTCGAGAACATTGTGAGAGTTATCAATGTACGTGGTAGGCACCACTGACATAAAGTATTGAAAGGAGTGGAAATCTGATTCGAACGATGTGTATGATGGTTTAGAGCGGTTGATTTCCACACGATTTCAAGTAAAAATCAGCTATACATACGTGAATCCGTCGTCTCAATGCTATCATCAAGAGGGTTGATGAGATTGGGGTATAATTTACCAAAAGAGAACTCATTGATTCGATGTGTGAAATTTAAGACTAAATGTGGTGAGATCAAAACGTTAGACAACACTCAGATGTATAGCTAGAGACTTTCCATGTTCCTTACCTTGATGATCAGTGTGTGCGCCGGTTTCTAACAACAGTAAAGCGTCAGAATATATCAGAAAATACCGGATTCAAGTAGAAATGCACTTACGATAGCCATGTCCTTGAGCAGTGATGTGAAGATTGGCAGCAACTTTGTTGGCTTCGAAGGATCCCAATACCCGACAGGCACCCATATCACCTGTAAGTGAGTCCACTAAATCAGCTTAGGTCGTATCAACGGGAAATCGAAGAAGCTAAAACCTACGTGCAACAGCATCATCCACCTTTTGTCCTTTAGCCGCTTTGATAATCTGGTGGATATGTGTAGGATCCTGAGCCTGTCCATAAAGACGAGCATTTGCCACTTCAAATTGTGCCTACGAAACGCGATTGGAATGTGTCATTGTGCGATATTCACGACGATAGCGGCTTAAGTAGTTGCTTACTGGAATGTTTTTGAAGTTATTGGTAAGATGTAGGCGTTCACCTCCAAGATCATATACATCCACATTAATATCTATCCATATTATTGATACTTAGATCAAGCTGAAATCAATAGAATAAAGCTGTGTCAGGAAGCTTACCGGGGCAGGGCATAGCGATCACCATGTCCAAGTTAATCTGGACCTTCCTCGCTACTTGATGGTCCACCAGAAATTCAAATGATGTGTTCAAATGACGGTAGCTGTAGGTAGAGAATGAAACGATTGTAAGTATAGTTGCACGGTTTGTTTCTAAAGATGAAAGAACTAAATAATCCTCACTCTGCAATCTCGCTGAAGGTCAACAATGTCAGTACAACAGCCAGAACCAAGGTCAATAAGCCTCCTTGACCAGATCTGTGCTTGTTATCCTCTTCCACCTTAGGGAAGGCATCCAATTGGGACACTTTCTCTGATAATTTGCGCAGAGACATTCAAGAGAGCAATTCCACAGATGCAAAATTGCCCTGGACTCGAAATTTTACGCTTGAGGGCGCACAGACCTCCATTTTGAACAACACAAATGTTTCAAAGTCCATGACGTGGCAGTCAGGCAACGAAAACCTCTATTTTTTTAACAGATAGGATGTAGGGCTCAATGAAATAAAACATTGTTCTGTAATATTGCTTATATGAAAAGCGTTGAAAACAGTATTCAATAGCTCTACTATTAAAAGTTAATGCAAATCACATCTCTACAGTAAGTCGTTGAACACTGACTGTTAGGGTGAATGAAGTCTATCTCCATCATAGACCATATCATTGGCCGAAAATCAAGCTTCTGCTTAGCTTCTACCTCTATATTCAATGCGATCTTTGCCATGACACGCTCAATTGCATGTGAATAGGTGAAAACAGCAAGATATCGTAATATCAGCTTTGATATCGGCAGTCTCGTCAATCTTATAGCACATGAGCGTTCATTACAGGTATTCAAAATACCATTATGATTGACAAGTTACCAAACTATTTGGATGACATTTATCGCTTGTTATAATTATAGCCGAGTTGTCGGCTTGTCATTAGTTGTGGGGCTAAAGGGTGGGGCTCAAACAGGCACGGTTATAACACAAAATCAGGTAACAGCCGAGGACACGGGCATTTACTGAAAATTTTGCGGGAATTTCAACTAACTTGACCTCCGCACTTTCCCTGCCACCCATGCATGTTGCGCAGTCTAGCCAGACATGCTAGGACTTCCACTTGCATCGAACAGCATGAATTTGGCCAGATCGACTTAAAAATGCGTATGTCTTTCTTGAGAGTATGAAATACCGTAACGCAAAGCTCATCATAATCAACATATCTTTGTAGGACACTTCAAAAATGCCATTCTATTGACTTCTTTTCGATCGCGTCTATTTTTGACAGCACGTAAGTATCTCACGATGCTCCATTGAGCGAATTGATGTCATTGCCGTCTACCACGTTCCAGCTTTTTTCGGGATGCGTCCCTATTCTTATGTAACGCACTCGTGGTTGAACACGTTCCTGCAATATGACTGCGCAAGCCATGCACGTATTTCTTCTAGTCCCTCTAGATGAGCATGCCGCTAAAAAAATAAATTTCTAGATTTTTAGGAACGTTAACAAAAATTTTTTTTGGGATCGTCAATAAATTTTTTGGGAAAGGCGGCAATCGTGAGTCTCCGAGTGTTAACGGCGACAGTCCTTCACAAAAGGAAATCGGTTCCCTTTATGTAAATGAAGACAAGTTTTTTAGCAACTCTTGTTGAGTTTCAAGTTTACCTTGGTCTAGACGTCAGCGACCCCCTCACGGCAAGTTGCTTTACGACGTGGTTTGCAAGTCCTCAATAACCTCACTTTAAGGAAACAGATCACATATCAAATTCATAGAAAAATATCGAAATAGAAGAATAGAAAAGACACTGCCATCTAGATGATGTTTCATTTCATATTTTTATTTTTTCCAAATATGCCAAATCAAAAGGCAATTGATACAATTTGTATCGAGACGTGAGGGTTCAATTTGATCGGCCAAGGAGAACCGCCGAGAGACGGGCCAAGGAAATGCACCGCAGTCGGATCAAAGCACGGTTTTGGGCCAAGCTGCGGTCGGGCCTTGAGCGCATATTTTTTTTTTCGAGGCCGAGAAATTTCTTTCAGTTACAATTTCCGATACCCTATACAAAGTATATAAGGATGCGTGGATGAGTGCTTTTGTTGACATTATCAAATAACAATCAAATCAATAACATGGGTCTCTTCAAGAAGTTCACCGCATCTAACAAGTCTGCCAACTCATCTGTTGTTGACGTTCCTGTCCAATCACCCAAGAAGGCTTCCAGCAACAAGAGCAAGAAGGACTCTAAGTCTCCTGTAGATTTCCCAAAGTACCCTGTGCTTAAGCTCCAGATGTTCCTCATCTAAATCAAATGAAACCATGGAATACCCATACTCTGAAGTCATTATATCATCCATTCTCATGCATAACTGTACAAAATGCACATTTATTCCACTCATCCCTTCATTTAGATCAATAACATCACTTATCATTAGCTTAACACAATAATTATATACATTATCTACACGTACACTTTCCATTCATATGCTCCAAATACATATAAAGTCGATGTCTTCATTGAAAAATAGTTTGTGTTAAAAATCTGCTGAATGGTATTACCTTTAATCTTACATGGTATGATTGTAAGACTGTAAAGAGGAATAAATCAGTCACGTTCAATTCCCATCACCAAGGCACACTCAGCTATAGAAAATAACGGACAGGAATGTTACATTTGTATTTGGCATTATGGTTTAGTACAAGTGGTTTTAAATGCAAAGCTGTGAAAGCAGCCAATAACGAAAAAAGATAATAACAGAAATGCAGTGATGGGGGGAATGGTGATTTACTGCCATTGACGGTCTTTGAGCTTCTTTCGGAATTCGCGCAACTTGAACTTCTTGCTCTTTTCGAATCGAGCTTTGTCGCTTGCTTGCTTCTCTGCTGGGCGGAATCTGTATAAATCAATAAATGTGAGTTAATACTGAAAGGATTAGGGAATAAGGGCAAGGAAAAAACGTACGGTGCAAGTACTTTGAGACCAGCGACTTGGTTCAAATCCTTGTCATCAGCAAGGAGAATCTCAACCGGCGACAAACCAAAGTTGTTGGCATCCACTTTACGATACTTGAAACGCGTGGGCAGATCGCCAATCATGTCTTCGTAATTAAGGTTATAGTACTCCTCCATATACTTCTCCATGGCTCGCTTAGTGCTCTTCTTGGACTCTGCAATGGGCTCGGAGACACTAGCAATAACCTCCTCTTCAATCATCTTGCCCTTCTTCTTCTTGTCCTTCTTCTTGTCCTTCTTGGATTTCTTGCCCTTTCCTGAACCTTCATCTGCTATGGCGTATTTTTCTCCGCCAGGCAAATAATCAGCATCCATCATAAGATCATCTTCGTCCTGGTTTGTATTAATGGGGTATTCGTGGTCTTCAGCGCCATCGCCATTGTATTCTTCAGCTTGCTGGCCATCAGGTTCTCCAGCTTCTTCCAACCCGGTATCAATATCATCATCCCATACAGGTTTTTCATTGTCATCACCAGTGTAGAAGCTGTCATCGAAAATGGTTTTCATTTGGTTGTCGTAAGCATCTCCATCGAAATCGCCAGTAAGATCGATTTTGTCGATTCCAGCAACTGTTGATATAATATAGTGCTTATTAATACCCATTTCAGTGTAGATGGTCAGTCATGAAGATCCGGCTACATACCACTGTTTCCTGTGATGTCCTGAATCATCTTCAGGCGCTCTTCGATCTCCTTCATCTTCAAATTCTTCAGTCGCTTGAGCTCTTCATCCTTTTGCAACTTTTCTTCATCCTTTCTACTCAAGCGGGCTTGTCGCTGAAGTTTACGACGATTATCCTTCTTACGAACGGATCCATCAATATCACGGGCATGAGAAACCAGTTGAGTACCACCTCTGTAAAATCATTCAAGTTAGATGGCGGTCATGTTGATCACCTTGAAGATATTTAAACTCTTACTCTTCTTCGAATCGGAAGTTGTATGCACTTTCAAATCGGTCAACCTTGTCCAAGTACTCTTCATCCTCGTCACTGCCAGCTTCTTCGTCGACCACTTCATTGTATGAAGGAATTTTGTTGGCATCTTTATCGACCCATCCGCGGTTCAAAACGTAGCTAAGTACCAAAGTTAGCCGGTTAATAAGGGCCAGGACCACATTTTTCATTTTAAAATGCCACGAGTCTTACTCAATCAAAAATGCTTCATCCTTGTCAACATTTGGGTTTTCTCTATAGTTTTGCCAGTCAGCAAAAGCATCTTTTCCAGCCTTGTTGTCCTGTCGAAGAAGATGGGGTGAGCGCACTGCAGCAGACCTTCCCAGCATTTCACGCATCAAATACTTACTGCCATGCTCTCGAGAAGAAATCTCTTGTAATCTTCTTCTTCAGCAGCTAAATCGTCGGAAGTTTTGTCCCTCATAGTAAAAAAGCCATCTTCTTCTTCGTCATCTGCCATGATGGCTCTCTTGAAATCACTCTTCATTTCTTCTTGCTCTTGGACGTGAGTCTTGGGGGCGGGAGCGGATTCTTCATCATCCTCATCAATGATACCGCCATCTTCCAACAAGACTCCACGGTGGTAATCTTTGAGAGTCACCTTTTTGCCGGTTTGCTTTTGCTTTTCTTCCCAGTTTTTCTTAGCTTTCTCAATTTCCTCGCCGACGAAAAATTCCTTCTTGGCATCATACACTTGGGGATCCTTAGTACGAATAGCTGCAATGGTCTTCATAATTTGTGCGTCCACTTCAGGAGTCAACAGCTCGGCATTTTCGTCCTCCTCTTCGTCAGTCGATTCCTCTTCTTCGGAATCGTAGAACACGGCACTCTGGTCTTTGTCGTCTCGGATACCCCACTTTGCTTTTCTTTCAGCAATTCTTCTTAATCTGTCCTCGTCGAAATCCTTTACTGCTACGTCGCCGTACTTGTCTTTGACTATATAAAGGCAAGGTAAGAGTTAGCATAGGCTTTGACTGAAAATATAGCAATAAAAACACCAACGTACGTTTTCCAAGTTCTTCTCTTTGTTTATTGTGCTCATACTTCTTGGCAAACTCCTCATTGATCTTGAAATCAAAGGTTTCGTCGTCTCCATTCAAATCCATGGCTGAAGAATGTTTTAGTGATTCGTCTTCGAGTCATGGAATCAAAAAAAAAGTGAAGAAATTCCATTGTGACTGCTTTCACGTGACGGCTGGCAAAATTGCATTTGCTGTGTCGTATGGACTGTGAGATCGCCTTCCAGCTACAGCAATTCTTAGAGCATGTAAGGGCTTTTCACAAAATCACTGTCGAGACACGTTTCATATATTTTAACGTATTGTTTATAGGTCTGAATTTTGGGTCTCACAGCAGAGGCATTGGTGCCAATACTGTAAAAAGTACATTACCAACAACAAGCCCGTAAGTTTTCAAACTGAACTACATCCACTCCAATACATTACTGCCAACTTCATTACTAAGAACGCCCTTGAATCTCAATTTTCATAGTCCATATCAATCCATGAGAGCGGCAAAGCCCACAAGGATATGGTGGAGAAGTTTTTGCGAGACGTGTATAAGCGTGGAAAGGAGTCACAAAAGGAAAAGGCAGAAGTGCAAAAGGAATTAGAGCGCATCGAACAAGCAGCTATATCATCCTACAATTCAAAAGATGCTGCAGGCGGGCCGAAAATACAACTTCCAACGTTACCAAACAAGCCTGCAGCCAAGTCCACAAAATCAGCTTCCAAACCAAAGTCTTCGGCTCCGCCCAAACAGACGCCAGCTGAACCGTTTGAAATGCCTATACCGAAAGAGCCTCGATCAGAAGCAGCCCCCGGCGAATGGACTGTTGTCAGCAAACCTGTTAAAAATATAAAGGAAGCCACAGCGTCTGATAAAAGCCAATCAAGCACTACACATGACCTGAAGCCAGAGATGCAGGATGACTTTGCAGGATATGAAGAAGATCTTCGAAGTTACAAGATAAAAGAGAAATCATACCCTGAAGACGCCTATGTAGAAGACACCGATGAGCAAAAGGATGGCGGTGTGGTGTTTAAGAAACGGAAACTTGGAGGTCAAGGGAAAGGACGCAATATTCGCAAAAAGTAATACAAGTCACTGCATTTCGGTCTCGTAACAAAAATGCTCAGATGACTTTGGAATAAAGAAGACAAGGGATCTGTACTCTACATTAAATAAAAACCTAATACCACTATCCTTAGTTCCCCCTTTTCTATAAAGCATCTATTACTCCTCTCGTCGTGCGTGAATGAACAGCATTGGTTGCTCATGTTAATCGAACCGCTGTTGCAATAACGACCTGAACGGATCCAGGATCAAATTGATGATTCATATCACTTTGAAGAGCAGCCATTAGGCTTACAAATGGTTTTGGCTGTGGTTGTCTCATCCTCTTTATTCAAAACGCTTTCTTGAAAACAATACTGATTTGAGGTTATGAGCAGTAAAACCTATTTTCATCAAGTGCCCGCACATATAAATTTAAAACAAAGGCGCACAAATATTTATGATTGTGATTTCGGGACGACAGTGAGAAGAAGGCCTGAGGAGTACCGCTAAGGTCATGGTTTTTCGGAGTTTGATTGGCATTGTAAATGGGGACCTTCATGGTTTCTCCCAAAAAGAAATTTCCTTTTCCTTTTTCTTTTCTTCTTTTTCTTTTTACTACTCACACATTCATATGTTAGACTACATAGTCCAAGGATGGATAAGGCTGACCATTTCATCCATTGCCTGTGTAGCTGGAGGTAAAGGCGAAACTCAGAACCAAAAATAGATTACTCATGCACAACAACTCATATATTGTCGTTCGCACCACTCCTTTGTTTAGCCGCCATTGTATTTTTTGATAGACGACGGCCAACAGATGATGAAAACGACGACAGCACTCCACTCACATCACCAAAGTTTCTCACTGCATTTATGAGCATAGCAGCCGGTGTTTTGACCTACTCCTCCTTATATACCCTCTTGCCAGCTGCGCAAACTCGGTTACAGTTTAATCCACTACCACTGTTTTTTGGAGGAGTGTTGCTGAACTTTTTACTTAGCCGACTAGTACATGCTGTAACGCCAAAACAATTGACAAAGGTTTCTGGCGAAAGCAGTTACCAACCACTTAAGCCTAGTGACCGGCGGAGGCAGACGGACGTAGAAAGCTATGGGGCTACTGAAGCCTTACGTCAACCACATGATCAACCACAAGCCGAAAATGTGACGGCTTCTGGCTACCTGCAAATTGGTATCCAAACTACTGTTGCTATGTGTCTGCACAAATTACCAGGTAAGCCTCAGCCTATTTATACGTCCACAAAATTTGTGGGAGTCTCATACCCCCTCCTACTGCTTTATTTAGAGGGTATCATCACATTTGTATCGAGCAGCGATACATCGAATGTTGGAGTCACAGTGTTCTGCGCCATTTCCCTGCATAATTTTACGGATGGCCTAATGATCGCTCTTCCACTTTATGCTGCCACCCGGTCGGCATGGACAGCTTTCAGTTATGGAGCTTGTATGGGTGGAGTGTCTCAGATTTTAGGAGGCGTCATCGGTGTAATCGCGATTTCGAACATGAATCAGAAGTACGAAGACATTTTTATTGGTGTTGTATTTGCCATTGTCAGTGGTATGATGAGTCTGATTGCTATTCAGGTATGGAGTTTCATCATTTTGTTTATTCAAAAGTTTGATATCGAACGGAGTCGAGCATCAGTGTGTCTAATTCCTCCTTAATGTTTATTTTCTCCAATTTTTTTTTGGTATCGAAACAGGGACTGCTCCTTCAGGCGTTTCGGCTAGATCAAGGTCGGCAAAGTCTAATACCATTCTTTTTCTTTGTTGGAATTCTCATAGTCGGTCTGACGTCAATGTTAGGCAGCCACTGAATAAAATAGAAGCACTCACATATCTTGCACGTCTAAGAAATGGAATGAAAGTAGCGGTTTAATTTGTACGTAAATATGGAAGACAGGGGAGAGTACGCCAAAGAAACGTAGAATAGAAGCAAATTCTTGGTGCAGAAGCAGTGGGTAGCAAATTCTACGTTTGGAAAGAACGCGCGATGACACAATACAAAAACAAGAGATTCTCTTTATTTGGCGTTACACAGGGCTCAAAGTAATTGATACAGCCAGGAGGTCCTGCCTTTGGTATTAGCTTTATTTCTTTTTTTTTTTTTTTCTTTCTACCAGCTTCTTATAATTATGCATAGTCTATTGTCTCATCGCCATACTCGATAGAAATACAAATGATGTTATTTACTATTTAGTCCCTAGTATCAACATTTACACGCCTTAGTTCAGTAGCCATTCCTAGTAAAATCAAATTGCTCTGCCCCATAGGGTGGTTTCGCATCCTTTGATTGGTACAAGGTGCAGCTAGATTTGTTCCTGAATCCCGGTAGCCTCAAGGTAGACGGGCTGATTCTGAGGCACAAATGTACCCCTGTTATCACTTTATGTAACTGGCAATGAATTCTGTCATCGTTGTTTACTTGTTATTGTTGTCTTTCTGACCAACTCAAGACCTTAGGGATAATGCACTTAAATAGGTGCTGTATGTACCAACTTTTTTTTTTTTTTTGAGTGATTCTTTCTGCCCTTCTACTTTTTTAAAACAATACATGCGAACCACTTTCTTCAATATCCTGTTGCAAGATCATACTACAAAACATACCAAGCCACAGCCCATGACTGCAAAACCACACATCCACCCGCGAAAATCTATTGGTAACTACTGGCTAGGAAAGACGCTTGGTCATGGCTCATCAGGTGTGTCTGTAAGGACTGCAATGCACAATATGCCTTGTTAAAAAAAAAAAAAAAACATATCAGTAATGGCGAAAATTATGAACAGTTTCGAGACAGAGTCTTGCCTGAATAACATTCGCTTACCTGACATTGAACCCCCTCAAGGCATTTCTGAGCTAATATTTAATTTTTGTACCTCCCCCGTCTCTTTTAAATATATCCCACTCTGCTCCTCTAAAAATTAGGATGTGTGAAATTAGGCTTCCATAAAACAACCATGGAGAAAGTCGCAATCAAGATTATATCCAAAGCCTACCTGCAGACCTCCGAGATTTTGGCAAATGCCACCAAGCGAGAAATGGCTATTCTCAAGTTGGTTCGACATCCTAACGTCGTTCGCTACATTGACGCTGTAGACGATCCAAACGTTCCATACGTCTATATCATTATGGAATACGTTGAAGGTTGTGAGCTGTTTGACTATTTGATCAAATGTAGACGCATCAATGAACCAGAGGCACGTCATATTTTTTGGCAAGTCTGTGTTGCCGTCGACTGGTGTCATCAACGCAATATTTGGTAAGAAAATTTGACCATCTTCTCAGACCTTTTCATTGTTTGCCGGAGAAACGCATTAACCCACCATTTTGTTCATTTTTTTTTAAGCCACAGAGATTTAAAACCTGAAAATATCTTACTTACCACGTCCAAGCAAAACGTCAAACTTGTTGATTTTGGAATGGCCTCAATGCAGCCACCAACCTCTCTCTTACGGACTAGTTGTGGGTGAGTTTCAATGTAATGTAAAATTCTGGAATTTCTAAATGGTTCTGATAAGTTACCTTCTTCCATCAGATCACCACATTATGCCTGTCCTGAAATCGTTACAGTGAGTAATATGGACTGTGAAGCTCAATTCTTGTTGAGATGGCTAAATTATAGTTTAGGGAAAAAGCTATGACGGGCGGCTGGCCGACGTCTGGTCATGCGGTGTCATTCTTTTCGCATTACTTAGCGGACGTCTACCTTTTGAAGACAACAGCGTGCGAAACTTGCTGCACAGGATTAAGAGTGGCCAGTACGTCATGTCAACTTATTTTTCTGATGATGCCCGAGATCTGATAAGCCGTATGTTGACAACGGATCCAAAGAAGCGAATAAAGGTGAGTGGAGCAAGATATGCTGTTTCGATGGTTAGTTTCAAAGTGAGAGACAAGTGCAATGGCTAACTTTTTATCAAACCTGATTGGATAATCTTATCTTGAACAGATGGACGAAGTGTTAAGGCATCGTTTCTTCGCGAAGGAGGATAATTACCAATATCCACAAAATGCCTTTGATGAAGTGTATCAAACTGGCCAAGAGGTTGACCAAGAAACGATAAATGTCATGAAAGTCCTACTACGATCTCAGACCGAGGAATCAATTCGAGCGGCGTTGATGAGTGAGAGGTAAGTAATATATCTTTTGCATTTTTTAATTAGAACAGGCATTATGTCTGACAAGTAAACGTCACTTTAGCACGAATGTGGAACAAAATATATTCATGCTGCTCAAGAAATCAAAAGAACAAGTCATAGGAGGTAAACAGAGTTTTTATTACGCACTTGCTAACATAAGAGGATAATTCTTCGCTGGTTCTAAAAGTCATCCCTTCATTTGCAGAACCCATGATATTGACAACCGCGCATCACTGTGCTCCTTTAGAGTTTACAGACCTCAAGTCACCGACATCAGCGTTATCAAGTTCATCAACGTTATGCGATACAATTGGGGCTTTGAAGAAGACATCTGATACTCCCGATAAAGTCCAAGGGAAGACTTCAAGTGTAGCATTGGCAGATGGGTTGCCTGTTACTTCTCATTCCCATGACACCTCTCGGGCAAAACCTCCAGATGGCGCGAGCTTGGTACTCCCAGATGGTCAAGAAAGGGAAAAACGGTATGGAATGGAGCTTTATGATCACGCATTTATAGGCTGTTGACTAACCTTAGATCACTTGTCACTATATTCTTTTCACACTCAATGCGGTTAAATATTTTTCGCGGCATGGTATGGATATAGAAATTGCCCCATGATACTTCAAGTTGGATCCGTGACAGGTTGTCGAAAATCAAGGCCAGCAGATGCGCATACATCGTTTGTCACCACTCGGCCATTGATGGCTATGGACACTGTGTATGATATTCGGAACTGGCAAAACCGACGGCGGGCAAAACCGATTGAATCTAAGCGGCATTGGATGAATTTATCGTTTTGGAAGCTGCCAGAAGACACATCAAAAAAGTGTTTTGTAGAATGTAGCGGAAATGATGAACAGGAAGCAGTCAGCAAAATCATATACACTATCAATAACGTAAGGGAGTTTTACTAATGGAGAGCACGGGATGACGAGTCTTTTTCTGATCATTAACCATTTTTAATTGATGGGGTGTTATAGCTCATGCAGGGAACGTTTATCTTTAACACTGGCAGCAAGCATACCGAGAAAAGCATTGGTAGAGGCGAGATACAGACATCTTGTAAGTTTACATATTCATTTTGAGTTGTGCATGGGTTACGATAAGAAGAAGTTTAAGGGTAAGATTAACTAACTTGTGTGCAACGACCTGTTCGTTCCTTGTGATATTTTTCCAGGCAAGCATATTCCTGTTTTCGTCATGTTTTATTTGGAAGTGTCTCGAGTACAACCACTGGCGACGAGCAACAAGACGACAGTTGTATTTGGTTTGTCGCCAATCAACACAGATCTACCAACATTGGCCACTGCATGTAAGGACCTACAAAAGCTTATGCAACAAAATGAAATGGATGAAGAAGAGGCGTTATTAGCCAATGGATGGTGTCAATATCGTTCAGAAGGTGTGGGATGTTAACAAACGATCGAGATTAGCTGAAACAAAAATATGTCGATGTGATCAATCTTATTCCACCTGTCTGTAAACTCTGTGGGTTATCAGGCGCTAGCCTGCTCTGCTGTATATAAAATAAAATAAACTGGAGATGTTTGTTCAAACTAACGGATAAGGAAACTAATCTGCATGTGGCACGTTGGAAAGGGCTTTCGTTTGAAGTACAACGAACCTTATTGATTACCGTTACTGTGAAGGCCAGAATATTATTCTCAGAGAGTACAAGAAATAAAGTAAAAAAAAATCTTAAGGAAAAATTTATTGCAAAAATTTATTGGAGCGATGCTTAAGCACGTTGCCCAGTCTGTGCCTTGTGAGCTAGAGCGGCTTTACAAAGAACGGATGAGAGTGCTCACGATAGCCGCCACTAATTGGGTTATAGCAGCGGTGTATATCTCGATGCCCTTTTTTTTTTT